CTAGAGAAAGTGGGAAAATAGGCAAAAGCCTGAACTATGGTCTGTTCAGGGCCGGAGGATGTTAGCAGTCTCCTTGCCACTGTCCCCATGTGCAACCAGCTTACTAAGTCATCAAGGCACTAACACAGAGAGAGGTGAGAAGAAGTGGAATTAGCTTCACGTTTGGGTCAGTGAACGCGTTTCAGAATGACCGGCCACAGAAAAGACTGGTATCACGATCAGATATCAACACCCATACCAGCTGTGTGTTATTTGATGTTATAAATACAAATAAATGCGGTTCTTCCAAACTTCACAGTTTCCACAAAAATATGAAGCAGCCCAACTGTAACATTGACAATAAGAAATGTTGGTTACACTCTAATTTAAGGTGTAGTTTTGTTGTATTTACTCCCAATAAGTACTGTTCTCACTTTTGTTGCCAGTTATTTTGACATTAATGGCTGTATGTCGAGTTATTTTCAGATGACAGTACATATAAAATGCTATACAAGCAGCACATTGACTACTCTAAAAATGATCAACGTTTCATTTCTATAGTATTGTCACTTGAGAAGATGTACTTTTTTGAGATACTGTGCATTTATATATATATATATATATATATATATATATATATATATATATATACACATTTATACATTTAGGGGTGTGGTTCTGGTCAAGACAAAGACAATCTCCTGAACTTTAAACTGAATGTCAGAATGAGAAAGAAAGATGATTTACCGTATTTTCCGCACTATAAGGCGCACTTAGGGATAGGTCACTTTGAAATTAATTGTTTGTATGTTTTAGCTTACCTCAAGGGCATACAAGGTGTCTTTGAGTCCACAGTATTTTCAATTTTGACATTTTTCAGTCAAACCGTTGTTGTCTATCAGTCATACACTGGAGGCTAAGGGGGTCCACCAAAAAGCATGTACAGAGAAGTCAAAATTAAACATGATTTAATGACTGTAAATGTAAGTACACATTAATGGCCTAAGACACGAAACGAGCGGTTTTTGTGAGAAAACGAACAGTATTTATATCGTTTTTACCTCGTGTAATCTCAGTGATGTCCAAGTGATCTGAATCAGTTGTGCAATGTCCAAATGAACCGAACTGAATCAGTTCAATGTTACGGCGGAAGTGATCGCTTGCGTGTGACGTCACTCAATATTTACACGGATTTTTCGGAAGTTTTACCTTTTACTAAACATATGTAGATATACCGAAATCGTCTTCCATTGCGGTTTCCCGTATATCTAAATATGTTTAGTGAAAGATAAAACTTCCGAAATCTCTGTATAAACAGAGTAACGTCGGCGTGCAAGCGATCACTTCCGGCGCATGCGCAGACCGAAGCGCCCCTGCCGTCAGATCATTTTGTCATGGCTATGATTACAAGAGGTAAAACGATATAAATACTAGTATGGTGTTCACATTAAAATATAAAATAATGTATATATAAAATAATGTGTAGTTTTAACATTGTTAATTGTGGTAGTCCATTGATTTACATCTATCCATTATATACAATTTAATGGCACTTTACTTTTCCAACAACCACCAAACTATCAGAATCAGTAAATTATGTTGTTAATACTTGAATGTTTGTGCGTTTATGATGGACAGAAGTGCAGGTGCTCTGAACTAGCAAGCGTCTTAATTGGTGCTTCTGAAAAAGGCATCTCTTGATGTCATTGACGTGATTGCTAGTATGCAAAATGATTACAAATTCTTCTGTAGTCGTAAAGCATCTGCATTGTTCCTCAAAGTTAATTCAAGTTCTTCTGCATTAGAGAGATTTCCTCAGAGGTTTTCCAGGCTCCAAAGCGCCCAGATTTCTTTTGATTTGTCACGCATTGCGTCTGGAATTGAGCTGTTGTTTGGTGGACTTTCCTTATTAGTGGCTGATTCTCTCCTCCGCCATCATGAGGAATCTCCCCACAACTGGAATCAAAGTTTTATTCTCAGATGTCTTTGTGAAATTGGATAGTTCTAAAAAAAGCATTACTTTGCAAAGTTCGCAAAGTCTCTAGAGCTGTGAGTCATCCATGCTGTTATTAGTGCTGTTGGCAAAGGACAACATCACTGTTTGGGATTTAATGCAAAGCATACAATTTTGCCTCGTCCTTCATTGTTTGCGGTACAGACATGAACGATGCCTACAGACATTTTATTGTTTGTTTTTTGTTTTTTTTGTTTGTTGCGTGTGTTTGGAATTTTTGTTTGTTGGTTTGCTTTTTATTTTATGCTTTTTATGCGTTTTGCTCTTTGTTGTTGGAATTTTGTGTATTTTTCTGTTTGGGGTTTTTGATTTTTGATTTTTTTTTTTTTTTTTTTTTTTTGGGTTGTTTTTTCGGAGTATGCTTTTAGTGTTTTATTGATTTTGTATTGTCTTTGTTTTTTGGTGGTGTTTGGTATGGCTATTGCTTAATTTTTATTTTATTTAAAATGTTCCTGTTGTAGTGTGAATGTTTTGTAAGAATGGACTCTCTCAATCTGCACATGGGGTTGAAATGATGAAAAAAGGTTCAGAAAAGTGACATTAGCTAGCTACTTTTTGGAGCCACTTAATACACATCATCCGTTTGTTTCATAATCAGTCGTCGCATAATCTCATTTCTAGAATTTTCCACATCTCTGTGTGTACTCCAGTCTATAATGAGAGAGGAAGAGTTAAGTGGATTAGAGAGAGCGAGATGAAAAGAGGACTGAGACGGATTGATCCACCTTAACCTCTCTGCATTCAGGTGCCGTTTCTTCACTCTAAATGATTTGGGCAGTTTTACTCGAACCTATTCCCCATCTGCCTCCCTCACTCACTTCATCATAGGATGAGCAGATGAGACCTAAAGTGGTTGAGATCGCTCTTGCTGTTTGAGGGAACGATGACAGACAGTGATACGGTTTGTCAGTTCATCAGAGCATTAGATGTCTCATGTTTGATTCAGAGCAGATCTGCTCCTTCATTGCACAGGACGTCTGTGGCGATTACACACTGCACCACTTTCCTTCACCAGACACAAGTGTAGGACTTTACACCAGGTCCCCTCCGTCTGTCCACCGAAGTGTGGTGTGGAGGGACAGAATCACCCCTGATCAGATCATATCTATAATGCAATTATATTTTAATGTGGGCTGGTTAGGACAAAATCTCTGAGCGATTAGGCCTAACAGATGGCGTGATTTATTTATTTTTTTTATTTATCACAGTGTTTGTGAATAGTATACAGTGCTATGCTAATTATCTTAGTTGTCTTTTTTTTTTGTATCATTGGTTTGGTTTGGTTTTGCTTTTTAGTGTTTTATTGATTTAGTTTCGTTTTAAGTTTCTTTGTGGCTTGCTTGTTTGTGTTTTATTGGTCTGGTTTTGTGTATCTTTGGAGTGTATTTTATTGGGTTTGTGTTTAGAGGTTTGCTTTTTTGTTTGCATTTAAATTGTTTGTATTATTTGTTTTGTTTTTTGTTAGCATTTTAATGGTTTTGTTTGTTTAGTTTTGTTTGTTTTATTGGTTTTATGTTGTGTTGGTCTGACGGTTTTTTTGTTTGTTTGTTTTTTTTTTGGCTTTTATAGTGTTTTGATTTTGTGTATGTTTGGAGTTTTTTTCTGGCTTGCTTGTTTGTGTTTTATTGGTTTTGTTTTGTGTATGTTTGGAGTTTTTGTTTTGTTTGTGGTTTACTCTGTTTTATTGTTTTGTGTGTGTGTTTGGAGGTTTGCTTTGTTGTTGTTGTTGTTGTTTTGTATTATTGGTTTAATTTTGAGTTTTGCTTTTTGTTTGAATTTTATTGGTTTTGTTTGCTTGTGGCTTACTTGTTTGTTTTATTGGTTTTATTTTGTTTTGAGTTTTTGATGTGTGATTTTATATTATTGGTTTTGTCTTTTGCGTTTGCCTTGTTTTGAAAATGTTGTGCTTGTTGAGTTTTTGTTTTGTATTTTGCTTTTTGTTGTTTGTTTGATTTGGTATATGTTATGGTTTGATGTCTTTGTTTCACGGACTGTGACTGAAGTGTTGTGTTGCGGTGTTTATATTTCCTAGCATGGACTCTCCCTTAATTGCCACATAACGACAGCCGCTGCTCCAAATGAGTCGTTATTGTCATTATTCTCCACAGCGTACAGCGAAGCACTGGCTGTTGGACACTAAATTTGCCAGACACTAAATAATGTCACTTTATTGTAGATCTCAAAACACTATCATTCCCTTGCTGTAAATTCTTATCATCATGTGTTTGTCCCGTTTAAGATATTTTCAACACAGTTTCAAGGCTATTTAATACAGTGACCCTTCAGGTGCACGAAGGGTAACAGTATATGCAGTGTTGCCTCTTTAAATGCATTAATTGCGAGGCCTGAAAAACGATTTTCCTTTTGTGTGTGTGTTTGTGAGGTCGTGTTGTAAGATCAGCACCTCAGATTGCTCTCTGCGCCGTCTTGCATCGATCGCTCAGATTCTGCTGTGTTAGATCTACTACGTTTAGAGTATATGGCACTGATCAATAAAGAAACATGAAACGCGCACACTCATACAAACAATGTGAGATGTGCGTCTCTGTCCAACCTGATATATATTGTGTCCCTAATCCAAAAAGTGGAGACACACAGTATCGTTGTTGAGGAAAGTAAAGGTGGTTTGTAAGCTGCCGCTCTCAATGGTGCCCCTCAGTACGTTGAATTAAACCTTGTGTTTCTTTAGACAAAAGACACATTGACCGAGTTGAGCACTATTGTCCTTCAGTATTGATATGGAGTTGAGGGGTCTTTTGTTGTAAAACTCATGTGAGAAGCAAATTAAGACTTTTTTAAGTTTATTGTATGTTTTGTGTAAATAAACCTCAAATTACTAGCATAAACCTTGTTAAATGTTGTTCGATTAATGCAATATATTAATTCAATACATTTATCTAATTTGAAGGTTGTTTACTTGTTTTATATGTCACATTTTGCCAAGATTAAAAAACACCAAGAAAGCAAGCCATCTTTTGCAGTATGTCTAATGGTTGTGTTTGTGTAGGGAAATGATGTAATGGAAGAGCAAGATCTGCGAGAAATCGGCATCACGGATCCGGGACATCGCAGGAAGATCGTCAGCGCTGCACGTTCTTTGCCAAAGGTCTGTGTCAATCTAAACTCATCCGTTACATGCTAAGATGGTCTATAATCACTTCTGACTTAAAGCCACAATACCTAAGATTTAGATGCCGCTAGAGGGCGCTACATTCAAAATAACAACAACGGCTTTGCTTGATGACGACGTGGAGAAACGCGGAATGATGGGAACTGTTGTTTTCAACTCCACCGTGGATAAATCAGTCAGACAGGAATCGAAAATTAGTTGTCATGGATGAGGTAAAGTTCGATTTCTATAAATGTTGCGTTTACATGCTTGTTTTTCCTTAAACTGAATAACCGCAAGAGAAGTCAGGTTTAAAAGTAAATGAGTTATCTCAGATGTTACTGTACGAGTCACTGGATGAAGCTATGGTGGAGAGGGTTTGAAGGGGCAGGTCTCTTGCAAGGAGTTGACGTGGCTGGTCCTCCTTTTTGGTAACTTTATAAAAATAAAAAATCATGTACATTTGACACATCTTTTCATGTCTTGTAAGTATTCAACCACAGCTACAGTTTCACAAAATTAACGTTAAGGGGGTCGCACACCGGACGAGAAGCTCAGCGCCGTGCCACATATTTAAAATTCGAACACATTATTATCTATAAATGTACTGCACACACACCGGCGGCACCATTTGGCGTCTGTACGCACCGCCCAGCAACGCCTCAGGACCGTGTTCAAAATCCTGCTGCGCCACAGAGCGCCATTTACATATTTTTGTATAAAATTTTGATTATTTTTGTCTCAAATCGTTGCTAATGGATCCTGACTTCGCCCTATGCTTCAATATGCATTTAGTTTTGCAGTCATTTACAGAAATCAGCTGCTTGAATGACAATTGCTGATGTTATTATTAGATTTTTCAGGTGATTCTCAATTCATTCAGTGAACGGATGATCTGAGGTAAAGTTTTCAGAATGCAGACTCAGCAACGATTGTATTTAATTGTACAGTACAATCATAACATAGAACAGACATTATCTTCATTTACTGTCATTAAACATAACAATATTGCTGGCCATACATTGATGAGACAGTGCGCGTCAGGTGTTTGATAACGTTACTGTGGAGTTGTTCTAAACGTGGCGCGGCGCTTCTCGTCCGGTGTGCGACCCCCTTTACAGCCAACAGTTCACATTCCGAGAATAAATGAGAAGAATAATTGTGCTCCATTCCATAACAAATGCGCGAAACAAGCTGACGTTTGTTGCTTGATAGAGGCTAACGCACAACTACAACTACCGCATTTGTCCAGGACTACACGAAGTACGAGCGGAAACCGAGGCAAGCGGATATGACGCGATTGACTCGCGACTCCCAGCTCACCCCTGCTCACACGCCCCGTTTCCTTGGTTAAAATCTCAATTTTCTCGCGATTTAAACATTGTTTGAAACATTTGGAATATTGTAAGTTATTATCTTAACTAAATATATAACACTGGCCTTGTGATTTTGGGATATTTTAATGCAAAAATCTTAGGTATTGCACCTTTAATCAGTATCGTCTTGTGAGATGTCCATCAGGGTACTGATCTCTGTTGGGAGTCAACTGGTAGTCTATCTGTACTGGTTTTGTGCAGGTGAAAGCGTTGGGCTGTGACGGCAGCACGTCCCTCTCCTCGTGGCTGGACCTCCTGGGTCTTCAGGAGTACCTGCACAACTTCATGTCCAGCGGCTATCGCACGCTAGAGTGTGTGAAGAACCTGTGGGAGCTGGAGATCGTTAATGTGAGCGCAACCTCACACGTTCAGACATTCACAGTAATCAGTAAAGACACTACTGTACTACTACACTAGTTAACATGAAATAACAATGAAAACAATCATAATTAATGCTAATCCCAACATTTACTAATATATTGTTAAAATCAAATGTTGTATCTTATATTATTTAATTGTCCTGAGCTAACATGAACAAACAATGAACAGTTGTATTATTAATAGCAAAGAGGAACAAATGTCGTTAATGTTAGTTAATGCATTAAAGGGTTAGTTCACCCAAAAATGAAAATTAAGTCATTAATTACTCACCCCCATGCTGTACCAACCCCGTAAGACCTTCGTTCGTCTTCGGAACACAAATGAAGATATTTTTTATTAAATTTGAGAGCTGTATAACTACCACATTGGCTCCTAAGGGACTGCCTCTTGACGGCCCAGAAAGTCAATGAAGAAAATGTTTAAATATCCCAAGTGACTACCGTGGCTCAACTATATGTTTATCAAGCGACGCGAATACTTTTTGTGCGAAAAAACAAACAAAAATAACGAGTTTATTCGACTATTTCTTTTCTTCCTTGTAGGCCAGAACGAGACTTCCTTATAGATTTCCACAACGCATGCGCGAGAATTGCGATCTGAAGTAGTGTAAGCTGGTGTAAGCAGATCGCAAATCTCGCGCATGCGTCGTGGAAATCTATAAGGAAGTCTCGTTCTGGCCTACAAGGAAGAAAAGAAATAGTCGAATAAACTCGTTATTTTTGTTTGTTTTTTCGCACAAAAAGTATTCGCGTCGCTTGATAAACATATAGTTGAGCCACGGTAGTCACTTGGGATATTTAAACATTTTCTTCATTGACTTTCTGGGCCGTCAAGAGGCAGTCCCTTAGGAGCCAATGTGGTAGTTATACAGCTCTCAAATTTAATCAAAAATATCTTCATTTGTGTTCCGAAGACGAACGAAGGTCTTACGGGGTTGGTACAGCATGGGGGTGAGTAATTAATGACTTAATTTTCATTTTTGGGTGAACTAACCCTTTAACTAATTGTAATGTGACCTTATTGTAAAATGTTGCAAAAGTGTTATTATTTCCATAGTTAATTGGCTTTTGTTTTATTTGTAAAAGTAATTTAATTACTTGTTTCTGAATTCAGGCCTGTTCACTCCAAGGACGATAACTATAAAGATAACATTAAAGATATAGTTCTAAAAATCGTTCTAAATATTAAAGAGTAGCGTGGAAAGTATTTTTAAAAAGTATTAAAGAAAAGTGAGTCCACTCACACCACAACTATAACCATAACGGCACACACGATCATTATGACTGCACTCACTTTAGAATGATCTTTGGTGTAAATATGGACTCCCAATCAGAATCCATCCTGCTGTAACGAGCTCAAGCTTTTAAAGCGACAGGCGACAAAACTGCAGCGCGCGCTTATAGGCCATTTCACAAGATGTAAACAACACTGGTCCAGAAGCACTTCCTGTTACAGTTTGTAACTGTTTTGATCTTTTTAATCTGTTTTTTTTTACTTTTTGATTCAGTCTTAAATGTTCTGTTGATTGTATTTTATCCCAGCTTTTGGGTAGTGTTAAAAAACTGAAACAGGAAGTGCTTCTGGACCAGTGTTGTTTACATCTTGTGAAATGGTTTATAATAAACAGTGATATTGTCCGCCGGTGTGGACGCTAATGTCTTTAAAGTTCTCGTTCTTGGTGTGAATGGGCTTATTCAGGGTATTATTGTTGCTTCTGGAGTTTAATTGTTGTCTGTGTGTGTGTTGTGTGTACATGTAGGTGCTGAAGATCACGTTGTTGGGCCACAGGAAGAGGATCATCGCATCATTAGCTGAACGGCCCTATGAGGAGCCGCCGGTTAAACCCCCTCGCCTCTCTCAGATCAGAGTAAGTGCTAACATGACTCTCAGGGACTGCATTACACTTTCGGGATTGTTATGCAGGGTTTTTTTGTAGTAATACTTTCTGTCATGACATTGATTTTAATCCATTTTACTGATATATAATTTGTCAGCATATGTAATTTTAGTTGACTAATTAAAAATGAAGAAATGTGTCAAACTATAACAGATCTAACTTTGATCTATAAATGCATACATTTAAATGTTTTGTTTGCCTTGTTTTTCATAGTTATTTTCATACTTTTACAGTCGTTTATTGATTCATATGTTTTATCTGGTCTTAAAAAAAATGAAGAAATGAAATAAATTTGTCAGTTATTAATACTTATGCCGTGTCTTATTTTCACAAACCATGCCTTTCGGAGTGTTTGTCTATGTTTTGATGTTCAGATCAGTTTTTTGTTTCTCACCCCAAAAAATAAATAAATAGATTATATTTTGCTTGAATAAAAACAGAAACATATTTTAAAGCTACACTGTGTGATTTTTACCCCCATCTAGCGGTGAAAAGGTATATGACCATCCAGGGAATAGTAGTTTCTGTTTCTCTTTTTTTCTGAATTCGTTTTAACTCCTACGGTGGCCAGTGTAGTCCAAGATTAATATGGCTTCCAGTTCGACCTCGTCCATGAGTGTTAACTCAAACGTAAACGCGAAAGGCAAAGCTTGAATTAACGGGTATGTCCCTCTTTGGCTAATGTACTTTCAAGATGGAGGGGCAACACGGCGACCGACATTAGAACCCCTTACCCGTATGTATTTTCAATGGCATATTATACACTCACGAGAATACTTCATACTTGAACGAAGTAAATATACATTAATGAGCACATATATTTTTGAAAGAACTAAGTGTTTTTAGCTAAGAATAAACTAAAAGAGTTACACAGTGTAGCTTTAAGGACCTATCGAAAATTTTATTTTCATTTAAAATAAAATTGAAATATTAAATATAAAGAAAAAAAATCCATTTGTCCGCTATGAATTTGCGGGAGGATGTTTGCTATGACGCTTCTTCTGCTGACACACCCAGGTAGAGGACAGTTCGCCTCTATTGAACCGACGGTACTTCAGTCCCTCTGAAATTTGGCATCAGCCCTGATTATAGTCTATAACAAAGTGCAGAATACTGGAAGCTCTCTCTCTTTCTCTCTCTCTCTATCTCTCTATCTATTTCCCATCTCCCCCCTCCCTGCTCTCTCTCTTTCTCTCTCTCGCTCTCTCTCTCATTTATGAGGAAGCACATCTTCCCTGTTGGCTGATCGCCCTCATTGAACATTTCTTTTGCAGTGTCAGGATCTCTTGTCCCAGACCTCGTCTCCTCTCAGTCACTCAGACTCCTACACTCGTTCTATGGATCCGCTCTTGCCCGCAGGGGATTCTGGGAGGAGGAGAGGACCCGACTCCGAGTACGACGTGTCCACCCGACAGCGGCCCAACGACAGAACGCAACCACAAGTGAGTCAAACTCAGCGATTCCTTCCGGTTCTGCTCAGATGAGGCGCATTTTGTTCGGTTTATCCTAAAAGACTTCTTCCTCCCTGAAGGAGAAATATGAGGAGCGTCAGCGGGAACCTCGCCTGACCTTACGACCCCCGAGTCTGGCGGCTCCGTACACACCGGTGCAGAACTGGCACCACCAGCCCGAGAAGCTCATCTTTGAATCGTGCGGTTACGAGGCCAATGTAATCATATTTCTGTCAGCCTTACTTTATGAAGTCATTATTCCCTTGATGGTGTTTGGATGTGATTTTGCCAGACCAACTGAAATCTCTCTCGTTGTGCAGTATCTGGGCTCGATGCTCATTAAAGAACTAAGAGGAACGGAGTCGACGCAGGACGCCTGTGCTAAAATGAGGGTAGGTGTTTGTTCACTGAGGTGTTGTTCAGCCAGAGAGAGCTCAAGGTCTCCTGTGAGTGTCTCGCCAGGACACTGAGATCATCATTATATTCTGGAACGGGCAGCGAGCAGCACTGTCAGGGGAACCGTGCGAGTCCTCTACAGGACACTAGCGCAAAACTAGACCGTATCATAATAGATACAGAAGTCTATCCAGAATGTGGAAAATTCACTTTTCACAACACTGTGTGTGTGAGACAGACTGCAGATTTTCACTTTAAGGGCTGTTTGATAAGCAGGGCTGTATGTTGGGGTTTAAATGGTTAAATAATTCAGCAGAGCTGTTTGCTCAGCCGGTCACTGCAGAGATGTAGTCGGGCCAGAGTGATGCTTTTAATCAAGAGAGCCAGCCAGAGGGAAAATAATTATTTACTGATAAAAGTAGGGTGTTAGCACTGGCTATTGGTGAATCTTGCATTGAAACAGGTCATATTTCAATCTTAAAAATAAATCAATATAAAATATATTTCGGTTAAAGAAAAGAACCACATTTTGCATAGTAATAAGCATGAGCTTCTCTTTTTAGTGGCGGTTGACGGAGCACACGCCACCTACTGCTCGACACCAAAGGATCGGGCTTACGATAGCCAATACCGATCAGATTAAAAAGTGCTAAATCGGCACCGATGTCGATCCTTGAGGTCAGCTCGGGTCATCCCGAATTTAAATACTGTAAAGTCATTGTTCAGGCCGCTTGGATGTTTGCTAATGAACCCCAACCCCAAGCTCTTGATCAAGAACCACTGTTTTGCAGTCATGAGAACTTTGAGATAAAATGAATGGTCGACCGATATATCGCACAATATTTGGTGTTTTTTTAATTCAGCAATCGACAGATGAGCGCTTTGTTTTGGCCGATGTGTCAGACGTGTCGGACAGAATCGGATCCGAACAGGACAGTGAGTTCTGCTGTCATTGGAGACTAGGGCTGCAACGATTCGTCGACGTTGTCGATGAAAATCGATAATAGAAATAGTCGACAATGAATTTCATTGTCGAATTGTCGCCAGACATGTTTTTTTTTTTTTCGACCGAGCACATTCGCTTCTCTGCTGAGCGATAACATAGAGAAATGGCAGTGTCCAACGCAGCATGCACATACCAAAACGTCTAAAGTTTGAGAGCATTTTAGCCTGGATACGGTGAATAAAAAGGTTGCCTGTATCATGAAAAGCAGTCCTTGCTATCACGGCAGCACCTCGGTGATGCACGAACATTTAAAAAGAAAGCACGTCGGACAGTTGAATAAAACGGAGTTTGACTCGCCTCGGTACGATTTACTGTATTTTCCCCACTATAAGGCGAATTTAAAAGCCTTCAATCTCCTCAAAAAACGACAGTGTGCCTTGTAATCCGGATCTTCTTATATATGGACCAATTAGTTAACAACGGCCCGCGTTATTAAATTCGCTCGCGAACTCGCGCTCGTGTCCATCTTATGCCTGCTTTGTCACACGGCCAGTTCAACCTCGTATAAATCAGGTTATGTGTGTCTCCCGCTCACGAGCGCTCACTCTTAACAGACACACTGTCCCCGGCGCTACTCGCGCGTCACAGAACGTTCATAAAGCGCTCCCCGTTCATAGTAACCGGGTCGTCTCACTCTCATTCATAACAGCCAGCTGTTGCTGACGAGCCGCCGCAATATATGAGTCCAGGCTGCGAAAGTTACGTGCACGCCCCAGCGCGCTCACACTAGCTAATTAACGCCTCACCAGCTTCGGCGCCGCGCACTACATTCCCTTTAGCACATCTAGTTGATGCATAACGCGAAGTCGCAAACCCAGTCAAACGTGTGACTGCAGTATCTTATGCGCCTCATAATCCGGTGCGCCCTATGTATGAAAAATGTTCTAAAATAGGTCATTCATTGAAGGTGCGCCTTAAAGTGCGGAAAATAGGGCAAATAACATGGAAGTCAATACGTTTTGTTTTGGATCACGAGTAGTAAAGTTATTTTGCAACAGATTGACCACTGAATGTATCACACAAAATGCACTTAATATTTTTGTTTACTGTTTTATTGCTGCTAATGTGCCTGCCCCTGGTTTAGCTACAGGAAGAAAATGTTTACTTGATATTAATTTATTTTTTCTTGTAAAACAAATGTGCCTGGCCCTTATAAAAATGATAGAGTTTCTCTATTTATATATTTATGTCTATACTGACCAAGCACTCTGCCTAATTGGTTTTAGACAGGGCATTTTTTTATTTACTTTTAGTATGAATCGGCCTATCAGCAGCAAAGTTCAATAAAATATGCATTTTTCATTGAAGTACCCCCTTCTTTCTTGTGTTTACTATCATTTTCCACAGAATTAAAGCAATTCATGCTAAATTTTAGAAAAATGTAATAATTATCCGATTAGTCGACTAATCGTTTCAATAGTCGGTGACTAGTCGACTATTAAAATAGTCGTTAGTTGCAGCCCTATTGGAGACGCACGATCGGCAAACTTCATTTCAAACTTTGCTGCGCTTTTCCCAGCTGCCCACCTTGTCATAGTCATGTCATTTTCATGTCTTTATTTGAAAAAAATAGGATTCCCAGTTGGTTACAGTGTTATAACGAAATGGTAGTAAAAAATGTTGCGGTGAAATATTTGGGTCATTATATTCACAATTCTCTCTCTGTCTCAGAGGTCGACAGAACAGATGAGGAAGATCCCCACCATCGTCCTCTCCATCACGTACAAGGGTGTGAAATTCATCGATGCTGCCAACAAGGTGATGACATCATCCTCCTGACGCTCGCCCCGGGCGGACAGATAAACAGCTGCTCATTAAACTGAAACCTCATGGGACATCTCTGTGGGGGGTGCTGTGTTCTCATCGCGTCACATGATGATAAACAGTGATAAACTCAGACTTATTGAGCTCTGAGTCACTTTCGCATTGCTAAAGGTCACGGGTGTCTGAAGTTGATCCTGATTAGATTTATTCGTATTCATTAAAGTTTTAAGTAGTTTTGATCCTGTAGACACTGCATTGATGTTTATCTGCTATTGTTGTTATTAGTGTTGTCACGGTACCAAAATTTCAGTATTCGGTACCAATACCAGTAAAAATTCACGGTTCTCGGTACCAATTTCGGTACCAAAGCTTAGTTTAAATTTACATATATTTAAGTGTTTATCACGGTTACAAGTATGGAAACTGTACATTTGTATTATAAACACTTTAGAAAAAAATTTGATAAAATGACCTAAAATAAACAATAGTATACACTAACACATTTTTAAAGTTGTTTGTAAAGTTCTATTCCGTTAACATTTATTTAATGCACAATGAATGAAGTGAACAAACATGAACAATCAAGTGTTTCTATTAAATAACATTTACAAACATGAATTAATGTTGTAAAAATATACTGTTCACTCAATGTGTTGATGTGAAGTAGGCTAGCTAATGTTGATAAATGGTATCTTATTGTAGCATTACCAAACTATAGGCTACAGGAGAAAAAAACATGTTTTATTTGATTTGACTGTACTTTTATTTAATCTAAAACTGCATTCATATTTAATTTTGAAAAGGCTTTTTAAAACTGCTGAGTTATAAAGGAAAGAATACGCCTAGAACTGGCACTGACATTAAATGACATAAATAGGGATGCATCGATACTAATACCAGTACTCTGGTGTCGGTTGGATACTACTGTGCTCATGTACTCGTAAAACTACCCCGAAAGCACTTTAGAGGCCGTTCACATATCGCACGTGTTTTTTTTATTATATTTTTGCGCGTGCTTATTCTTTTCAAAGCGCTTGCTCTCACGCGGGGTCTGTCGTTGCTATGCAACGAGTTTTTATTATGAGCGCGCTTGCCTCGTGCCTATATTTGAAATCACGAATTTGCATGTAATCGGCCTCTTATGGCAACGTGACATTAGCCTAATCCAAAATATTTCCATATGTGGCTCTTTCCTCCTTTTGTGTCAACAAGTGGATTCAGAGAGAGAGAGCATATCAGCGTTATGAAGAGGACGCAACTGTGCACCTTTCAGACAGCGCGTCTAGAACTGGATTAACCTGGTATTCGGTACCTAGAAAAGCTGGTACCGTAACATTTTTTTTTTTTTTTTTTTAGAACCGACTTGGTACCAAAGTTCCGAGTTTTTCGACAACACTAGTTGTTATTATTATTATTATTATTATTAAAATGTTGCTTGACATTCACTTTTTTGCTCTCCAGCCACTGTGTCTAGTGGTTTTCTAAAGTTACAAGTCAATCAGCGTTTTCACTGGCCACAGTTTTGACATCAATACCATGGCGAAAAACGGCCATAAAGATATTTTTAATAATCTCTTAATTTGTCAGCAGGTTTATTAGGCTGCTGTCACTTTAAGACCTGACGCACGGATCCATTATTCTGTTACACATGCGTTTTCTTTCTCAACTCACTTAAAATATAACTCACTGTGTTTACCTGAATACTGACCAAGACCATTTTAACATTATTTTGTGTATTTTGATTGTTAAGCAGCAAAAAAAAAAAACACAATTCAGTGCTGAGAGGTGGCTTTATGTGCCACAGTTTGGGTGTGAGAACAAAATCTGTGGGAATGAGTAAAATTATGGCCAATTCACGCAATCCCACATCAAAATTCAAGCCCTGTAACATCAACAATACTCATCTGGAGCAAATGAAACGAGTGAGTGAGTGGAGGCGGGATTGTGTGTCACTTGCTGTCGGAGAGATGAGAGAGAAAGAGCAGCTGGTCTCCTATGTCTATTCTGTTGAAAATAAGTATTGAAGCATTTCAGATATTTCCGTATCAATATTGAGAAATCTAGATTTTTTAGTTTATTATTTCAGATGCCTTTTTTAAAAGACTACAATTGAAAAATGTATATATTATATGTAAAATTCAACCCGCCAACGTGGCTAATAGAAGTGACTGCATTACACACCACTGCTGAAATACACACGCATTTGGCTATTTTTGGTATATTATGGTAGCCCTGTTTGTGTGCTAAATAGAGCGTAATTTCACCTGTGCCATTAATATGTTTATAAGCAATTTAAAAAAGCACAAATCTCAAGGACCCCAAAAACACCTTAGAGCCCAGAGGGTTAATGTCATAGAGTTTCTGTGATTGCTGTTGTCTCCTAACATGATCTTGATTTTGTGTGTGCAGAACATCATCGCAGAACACGAGATCCGGAACATCTCGTGTGCGGCTCAGGACCCCGAGGACCTCTGCACCTTCGCTTACATCACTAAAGATCTGCAGAGCAGCCATCATTACTGCCATGTGTTCAGCACCGTAGATGTGGTGAGACTTACACCACCAGCATTTCAGGGGTTCCCAACGCTTGGGTTGCAGTTTCAGATGCTGATCTACAGAACTCTCTCTCTCTCTGTGTGTGTGTGTGTGTGCTGTGAAGCGCGTCATGGGCCGCGTGCCAGGACTCTGATAGTATCACAAAGAGTTTTATAGGGGAGTTTGTGAGCAACGGCCCATTAAAGTTTCATTGATCATACAGCTGCCTGATCGATACAGACACACTACACCTTGAACACTTATAGCCAGACTCTAGTAAAGCTGCAATTGATCAAGCCATTATTACAACTGATAATTGACTATTCAGGTGATTCATAAATAGATTTTACTTTTGATGGTAGAGGCATGCAATAATGAACATATAGACAACAAAACCATCTTTTGGAAATACATTTTAAAATGAAAAGTGCGATTTTTAAGTTTTGATCAAAAGTGAATGTATAGACATTTATGAAATATTTCTGTTTAACACTTTAGAATAAGATTTCATTAGTTAACTACTTCAGTTAACAAGAACTAAGAATGAACAATAGTACTTCAGAATTTATTAATATTAGTTAATATTAATTTCAACATTTACTAATTCATTATTAAAATCAAATGTATTTGTTAACATTGGTTAATGCACTGTGTGAACTAACAAGAACAAACAATGAACAACAATTAACAAAGATGATGCAGTAACACATGTATTTCTCATTGTCAGTTCATGTTAGTTAATATCAGTGTTGGGTGTAACTAATTACTAAGTAATTAGTTACTGTAATTTAATTACTTTTCCCTTGAAAATGTAAAGTAAGGGATTACTCTTCCTTTATCTGTAATTTAATTACAGTTACTTCTGATGTAATTGAGGTAAATACTGTGCATAGTTCAATCCGATCTCACAGCGATTCGTATGCATTTTATGAGGTGTCTAAATCGTACGACCGCACTCGTACAAATTATCCGTCTTGTAAAATATGTATGAAAAAAGTGTGAAATGTCATGAGTTCAGACATAAAACAATAGTGGGACAAACATGTATTGTCTGATGTTAAAAAGTATGTTTTTATAATGTAACCTTCTCCACCTTGGTCAGTTTAAAGATAATTCATGCAATTTTCTAGTATTTATTTGAAAGAATTAAAACAGATTCATGTCTATCCTTGTATTAGTCAGCTGGTTGAGATTGATATGAGATTTTGAAAGTAATTAGTAATTAAAAGTAATTAAATACTTTTTAGAGAGAGTAATTAGTACAGTCATCTAATTACACCATTGAAGAGGTAATTAGTCATTTTTAGAGTGCTTACCCAACACTGGTTAATATATTAACTAATGAACCTTATTGTAAAGTGTTACCAAATGTTCTTTTCAACTTTATTTTCATCAAAGAATCTGCCTTTTTTTCAGTCACAGTGAGATGTAAACTCACAATTGAGTGTTCTAGAATCTGAATTGTGAGATATTAACTCATAATCCATGGAAACATGTTTACACACTTCACAGCGTCTCATAGATGCACAGAGAAATACTGCTTATGTCCCTTTTCAGAGACTCAATGATGTCTAATGTGTAATTATATGAGAAGTTGCTCTTCATTACACTACTTGGTTTAACTAAGCTTGCCATTACACACTTTATGAAGCTTAGTGAGTTAAAAGCTTAGTTTTAACACACTTTATGAGTTAACATGCCTCTTAAGTGCAGTATAATGGTGGAGGCTTGTAGAAATACATTGATGAATGACTGTCGATGAGGCTATTTAACAAACCTCTGAAGATGGATCGAGGTCATTTGAGCTCTTTGATAATTTCTTAATAGCCGTTTAAGCACTCATCATGTCCCCCTCCTCCCGTCAGAACCTGACTTACGAGATCATCCTGACGCTGGGACAGGCGTTTGAAGTGGCCTATCAGCTGGCACTGCAGGCCCAGAGGACCAGACAGCAGCAGAACCCCGAGATCATCGAGACCAAGAGCAGCAGACCCACACCCAAACCACGAGGGAGCATGCGCAAGTCAGGGGTGAGGGCACACACACACACACCGGTTCCTACACAGCTTCCTCCAGTCAGGCTGCACAGGTTTTTACCAGTTACGTAAAAGGTTTGAACATTAGAGTCGATATTTTGGTCAGATTTCTGATTTTCCAGCATGTTTGATGTGTGCTTGGTTTGTTTTACGTCAGTCAGATGGTCTCTTCCCGTCTTGGTACGTTTTTCCTCTTCAAAATAAACTTGGGTCTTCAGCCGACAAATGTTGCTCATTAGGTCAGTATGCAGAGAGTAGATGGTCTTTTGTGGCTGTTTGAACACATTCGACCACACGAGCGTTTACACTACGAAAACAATCCGGTCTTCTGGAAGCGGTGGGAAGTGTACAAGCTCAAAGCGTTTTAGACCCGTTTACACCTTAGTGTCGTCCACTTGTGATCCAAAACATCTTAATATCTAAACGCACCAGGTGTAAACGGGATCTAAGTGGGCGTTTTTTAGCCAGAATGTGCTGTTAATACATGAGCTACATGAACATGGGCAAAGATTAAAAGCTAACTCTACTAATTATTGTAAGTATACAAATAATATAATGTGTTCTATATTTGAAAGTTAGATGTAGTGTTGTTGACTTGGGATCCAAGTCGGTACTAAAAATTGTAAAATGTGACGATACCAGCATTAGACATCTTTGATGCTCTTCATTGAGCGGTTACACATAAACGCACAGGAGTGTTTAAAAGCAGATCCCTTATACAGTTGTGTTCAAAATAATAGCAGTCCAACATCACTAACCAGATCAATCACTGTTTTTGGTAGAAATTATATTTCCAAAAATTATATTTCTACATGGCAAATGATTTACTAGTAGGTGTAGTAGAGTAATAGAAAAACAACAGACCCAACAGTCATGACATGTATGTTGCTAGTTCTGTATAATTGAATCATTAATTGAAAGGGGTGTGTTCAAAATAATAGCAGTGTAGAGTTCAATTAATGAGGTTAATAATTCTGTGAAAAAACTAGTGTCAATTAGTGGCCCTTATTTAAGGACGAAGGCAGTACTGGAGTGTACATGGTGGTTATAGTGCATTTCTCTCTGACAATGGCGCCACCAGGGGGTGGCCAGGGGTGGCCATGGCCACCCCTGGCCGACTCCTGGCCACCCCAATGGCCAGTATTAATTTTTGTAGCATCAGTTATGCATTTTATAAATAAGTCAAAAATATTCTTAAGTAAAAGAAGACGGGGAATTATGTGTCGTGACGTGCTTTTTAAGTGCCAAATGGTATACAGCAGCTTTTAGGTGTGTTTTTGCCACGTTTGGACAGGCAGGGATGCAAACAGCGCGCTTTTCGGCGCCTCCCGCTTTTTTCACGTCAGTTTGGGTGACAAAGTCATGTCACTGTCATCTGAAGTCATTCCATAGCTTAATGTGAGGGACAGAAGTATATTTACATCATTAAAGTATAAACTCGTTTTCCCTCCTCTGCGACTGTCATCATTCTCTATTCATATTTAAACAGCACGCGCGCCTCTTGGATGCACGGTAAAACTCTCTCCAATATGATATATTGACATTATAAATGCATGATCTGTAGATAAAAGTCTGTATATTCGCATAAAATTACTTTATTTTCTTGGAGTTGTTGCTGTTTTTAAGTTACTCACTACCGTGTTCTGTTAGATCACACATACATATCACAAGGATTATGAATCGGCATCAAACGCACAATAACTGTGAAACAAAGGAACAAATCGCACTTGGATTTGTGCGCTCAACATTTTTTCGATTTGTGACATGAGCTTTTAAATGCACACTTATGAAGCAAAGTGCTGCTGCACACTGTGACTCCATGTTGCTTTGAGCACATCATTCTGCACCCGCGATGTTTTTCATGTAATCATGCAAGAACGGGCTCAATCATGGGTTTGCGCACTGAAATATTATTAAAAGCCAATATATTTTGTTATACCTAGCCTGCTCAATACATTTTAAATAAGCATAATTTAATTGTATATAATTTATTTGTAGTTTAGGCTATGCACTTCTGAATTCTTGACATTAATATATAAATATAAAATTGTGACATGGTTGCCTGATTGAATTTTAAAAGAGAACTAATAGTAATTTGTTTTTATTAACATATTTAGATTTTATAAAATTACTGTGCAGATTTTTTCAAGAATTACTTTTTGCTGCTGATGTATACACTCATTAAGTGTATTAAAAATTCATAATACATTTATGTAATATTTAAAGGTGTTAACTGTAATCTTACACTGCAAACTAATAACTTAAAAATGATTAAATTCATCACAATTATGTAAGTATCTGGAAATTTGCTGTGGGGCAAGGACCCTTATATCATATAATATATATCATTATATACAATGTAATATATATTAGTTGGGCCCTACTAATATCATTAGTAACATTAAATATTACACAATAAACCAAAGTATATCAGTAAGAGTTTCCTTAAGTCTTTCTGATAGTTTTCTACAGGCTGGTTTATTACAACAGTAGAAAACAATTCTGAAATTATGGTTTATACTGTAGTTTTGGTGTGCCACCCCAAGATTTGAACTGGCCCCATCTGGCCACCCCTACGAAAAATTTCTGGAGGCGCCACTGCTCTCTGAAGATCTGAATAAAATGGGCCGTTCCAAAAATTGTTCAGAAGAACAGCGTACTTCGATTAAAAAGTTGATTGGAGAGGGGAAAACTTATAAAGAAGTGCAGAAAATGATAGGCTGCTCAGCTAAAATGGTATCAAATGCTTTAAAATGGCAACCAAAACCAGAAAGACGTGGAAGGAAACAGAAAACTACCGTTCGAATGGATCGAAGAATAGCCAAGATGGCAAAGACTCAGCCAATGATCAGCTCCAGGGTGATCAAAGAAGATCTCAAGTTACCCGTGAGTACAGCAACAATTAGAAGACGCCTATGTGAAGCCAAGCTATCAGCAAGAAGCCCCCGCAAAGTCCCATTTTTGAAAAAACGACATGTGCTAAAGAGAATAGAATTTGCTAAAGAACACATTGACTGGCCTAAAGAGAAATGGCACAATATTTTGTGGACTGATGAAAGCAAGATTGGTCTTTTTGGGTTTAGGGGCCATAGACAGTTTGTTAGACGACCCCCACACACTGAATTCAAGCCACAGTACACTGTGAAAACTGTGAAGCATGGTGGCACAAGCATCATGATATGGGGATGTTTCTCGTACCATGGTGTTGGGCCTATTTATCGTATCCCACGGATTATGGATCAGTTTGAGTACATCAAAATACTTAAAGAGGTCATGTTGCCTTATGCTGAAGTGGAAATGCCCTTGAAATGTGTGTTTCAACAAGACAACGACCCAAAACACACCAGTAAGCGTGCAGCATCTTGGTTCCAGACCAACAAGATTAATGGCCAGCTCAATCCCCGGACCTTAATCCTATAGAAAACCTTGGGGCTGACATCAAAAATGCAGTTTTTGAGGCAAAACCAAAAAATGCAGAGGAACTGTGGTCTGTAGTGCGATCATCCTGGGCTGGAATACCTGTTCACAGGTGCCAGAAGTTGGTCGACTCCATGCAACACAGATGTGAAGCAGTTCTCAGAAACCATGGTTATACAACTAAATATTAGTTCAGTGGTTCACAAGAAAGCTAAAACTTCAAGTATTTTTCAGTTTATACAGTAAATGTTTGACTTTGTAAAGAAAAATGCAGACACTGCTATTTTTTTGAACAGCCTAATTTACCTTTTTCTACACTTTCTATAAAGTAAAAACAAATTTCATAAATTTTTCTTTATGTTTTGGTCTTGAATAGAATGTGCAGTGTTCCCAATGCATTTTTGTGTATTGAAATAAAAGTTGTTTTTAGGATTTTGAGCTTTACGCATTTTTTTGAACACACTGCTATTATTTTGAACATAACTGTATATCCACTGATAGATGCCTGCGTTCAACTGCTGGATCAATCAGAAAACATTAAACCAAAGCTCAATGATTCTCCCAAAACCCATCTGTGTCTGCTTATGTAGTCCAGTCACTGCTTAATGTTAACGTTTCTTTGGTTTCATCCAAAGAAAGTTCAGCTTCACCTTGCTGTTTTCTTGTTCTAATTGTTCTTTACACTTTCCTCTTCGTAAGTTTTCTATCTTTCCTTCATCCAGCTCGTCCTTTATTCACCTTGTCAGTTCAATAGCTCCAATTCCCATGGTTCCTCCCTTTCTATGACTTACTGGCAGATCCATATCTAGCCCACTTTTGCTGTAGTGCAAGGAACTTTTTTTTTTTTTACCAGAGCTCTGACAGGTATGTATAGTGCTGTGGAGCCCCCTGCTGGTGCTGTAAGGAAGCACTCAGTCAAATAGTTTAGAGACCATAAAGACTTTTTATTTCACATTAATGCTGTTATTTTAAAGTTTCTATGGAAGCTTGTTTCCGTCACAGAAAAAAATAAAAAAGGTAATTGTGACTTTATATCTCATAATTTGGACTTTTTTTCTCACAATTACGAGTTTCCATCAGAACTGCATGATATAAAGTCAGAATTGCGAGTTTTTTCTTCGCAATTGTGAGTTTATATCACATAATTCTGACTTTATATCTTGCATTTTTGAGATATAAAGTCAGAATTGCAAGATCTTAAGTCAGAATTGCAAGTAAACTTGCAATTGAGATATAAAGGAAACTCGCAATTACGAGATATAAAGTCGCAATTACGGTATCTTTTAAAATGTTTTATTCTTCTATAGCTTCCGTAAGTTTCTATTCATCAAAGAATCCTGAAAAACGTATCACTGTTTCCAGAGAAATATTAAGCAGCACAGCTGTTTTAAATGTTTCTTGAGCATCAGATCATCATGTTAGAAGGATCATGTAACACTGAAGACTGGAGTAATGATGCTGAAAATACAGCTTTACTGTCACAGGATATACATATATTCAACATATATTCACATAGAAATAGTTATTTTAAAGTGTCAAAATATTTCACATTATCAGTTATGTTTTGATCAAATAAATGCAGCCTTGATGAGCAGAAGAGACTTTTTTCAAGAACATTAAAAGCCTTACCAAAGCTTTCAACTGTATTTAGGTGCAATATGGGGTTCCTTTACAATTCAATGAATATTCTGAGTTATATACACTTGTCAGAACACTTTAGTTTACTGTCCTGTTCGCCATGTACATGCTATATACTTATTAAAGAAATTACAATAACTGTTTAAAACTTTGTGGGGATTGCAGATGTAAAATAGCCTATCGCTAACTCTGGTACAATGCATTAAATGGCAACATTTATGTTATACAGTAAATTGTACATGGTTCCTAATAAATAAATAAATAAATGATATAATAACTACATGGGTTTAGGTTAGGTTCCGGGTTATTTATTATTATCTTTTTTTTTTCGGTATTCCCGATTCCCGAAAAAATAATATATATATATTTTTCCCGAAAAATAATAATAATAAATAACCCGGAACCTAACCTAAACCCATGTAGTTATTATATCACCAGTACTTACTTAGGTAATAAAGTGTAACCTTTTAACCTTTGTCGAGTTCAAGACAAGGACCAGTCAAGTCCAAGTCAAGACCGAGTCCAAAAAGGTTCGAGTCGGAGTCAAGACGTAAAGAGTCCAGGACAGAAAAAAAAAAGTCTTCAGGGCCTGAATTTCGTTTTCGCCAAACAAAATTATTAAATTTATCTTGCCTAAATGTTTGCGCTCATTGCATTTTTACAATGGGGTAATGTTGTTGAGAATTTACACAACACAAGGCTTGATTTAAATTGTTCAATTAAGTTGAAAAAAGTTAGTTTTTTAGACAGAAACTGAATAAAGCAATCCAATGGAAAGTAACACTGGATAGTATTTTAGTCCTGAATAAATTAAACACATAGGCTATTAATCCTGATTCCTTTAATTTAAAGCTCTCTTTTGTTGTTTTGACGACAAAATCAATGACCGACACATATGGTTGCTGTCACTTTAAGAGCTAGTGCACGGATTCTGTGTTCATACTGGCATGCGTTTTATGCTTAATAAAGACAAAACCGACTATGTTTAGACTATTATACTCATGAAGACCGAAATTGACACAGTTTTGCGTGTTAAAGCAATATAATCTGTGAAAAAGAACTTTTGTTACTGGCCAACTGTTCATGAGGCAGATTTTCTATGAATGTGCGCATATAGAAAATCATCACAGAGAGCGCGCGAGCACTGATCAGTTTAAAATCGCTTCAATGTTCAAACTGGTAAGGTTAAAAAGACGTACGTCGTACGTGCAAATGTTAAACTTCTTTCACGATGCACTGCTGGCCCGATTGTGCAAGTGAATATTTCGTCATGTCCCGACTCCTGAGCGCGAGTGTGTATTATCGCAGCTGCGACTGATGCTTGCCTTCCACACAACACCTTTTGAGAGAAGAGAAGACGCGGCAATGCTAAACACTCACCTTGTTTGTGAAATTGCGTATGGCAGTTAGTTATTTTTTTATAAAAAACAATTTAGATCGTAACGATTGCGGGAATAACCCGCATTATAAATGGAAGACCTGCGGGAATGATTAGAATTATGCACGATACCTGCAATCCCGCGCCGAAATTCGAGCCTTGGTCTTAATCATGACATTATCAAGACAGTAATTTTGCGTTATTATTTCTTAATCTAAAAGCAAAAGTCTCAACACCCAGGATTTTGAAGTAGCAGCTAGTAAAGGCCAATTTATACTTCTGCGTCGAGGGTACGGCGTAGTGTACGTAGGCGACGCCGTTGTGAGCATTTATACTTCTGCGTTCAGGTCTTGGTTGCTCTGCAGTACTGCTCCGAAACGCTAGTTGGCGGCGGAGGGTTTTAATGTTCTACTGTGTTTAGATTCCTCGCGGCTAGGTTACTACAAGCAATGGCGACTAAAAGAGAGCGGATCATGTTGGAGTTGGAGCTTATTGAGGTGGAAAAGCAGTTAATTTTAGTGAAATTACTAAAACTGAAAGGCAGAAATGAGAGAAGACGTCGGAGGAGATGGTATGTGCGGAAATGCGTGAGAAGAAATAGGATGCTACCAAACCGACCAATCACCGATTTTGCGGTCCGCGGCGTCGCGACGTGTAGTAACATTTTTGAGGAGGTGCGCGTCAGGCTACGGCGAAGGGTATGCGATATGGGACGCGTCTGTGCGTATGCTACGCCGTACCTACTGCGCGCACCTTACGCAGAAGTATAAATTGACCTTAAGATAGTAACTATAGTAACAGCATGAGAAGACGCGCTCCGTTGTAGTGAGTACTTGGTCGGTTAATTTAGGCATTTTCTAAGTTAACTTTACCCTAATAAGCGAGTAATAAATGAACACACATACAAAAATGTTGGATTTGGTCGAGACCAAAAGCCATATTTGGCAAGACCAGTGGCCGAGTCCGAGACTTTAAAAAAACGGTCTTGAGTCCGTACTACAGCCCTGCTTTTAACTAATTCAAATGTTGTCGTTTTCAACCAGTAACTCTAGAAGCTTTAAGTGTTATTCAGATGCAGTGATACTCCTGTGAAGGGACCTCTGGTAAGCGTGTCTCTAGTACAGGGTCTTCATGGTGTTGACAGCTCTCCGATGCTCTGCTTTTTCAGGTGGAGGCGCTGGATGTGGACGCTCACGCTCAGAGCAGTGCGTCCTGGATCATGGACTCCAAAGATCCCAAGCGCACCGTCAGCACCAAGTACGAGACCACCATATTCTGATCGGACGATCCTCTCCTCCACGTCCCCCCACCCTCTCACACCCTTTCCTTTTGCTCTGTGCCTTCACTCTCTAGATAGACTTGACCGAACTCCTTCCTCGTCGCTCTCCTCCACACGGAAGACACCTTCGCCATTCACCTTTTACTTCTCCGTCTGTCTCGCACGGTCCTGACGCCTAGTTCTGCTCTCGCCTCCAATCTCACTCCAACAAACACATTCCCCCCGCCCTCATGTAGGTTTAGGAGCCTGTAGTCGTGTCATAACCGTCCCGAAACCAAAGTATAAGTGCTGAGGACCAGAACATCTCATCAGTGCTGTCATGTAACCTTCCTGTCTCAAACGTCAAGACACTAACACTTCCTACTGCGTTCTGCTCAAAGGACTCGACCTCCATCTTTCCTCTTAACTAGTTTTTCTTTCTTTTCCTCCTTTCTGTGGTGCTCGTCTCTCCCAGGCGTCGACCGCAGTGAAGACTCTCCTCCTCCTCAGTTTCAGCTGGACTTCACTAAATATGTAGCGTCAAATCAAAACAACACCGCCCAAGGGTTACTTTAAAGCCACTTTCCATGAATATGGGACATTTTGAGCAATAAAGGCTGAATTTAAAATTAGAACAGTAATAAGGTTCATTAGTTAACACTAACATGAACTAAGAATGAAGAATACTTCTTCAGCATTTGTTAATCTTAGTTAATATTAATTTCAACATTTACTGATACGTTTTTAAAATCACTGGTTGTATTTGTTAGCATTAGTTAATGCACTGTGAACTAACATGAACACACAATGAACAGCTGGATTTTTATTAGCCAACACTAACACTAAGATTAATAAATACTGTAACATGTCATTGTTAGTTCATGTTAGTTAATATGTATTGTTAACTAATGAACCTTATTGTAAAGTGTTACCATTAGAACTAATAAACATGTTAGATGAGCCGTTATCTAACGTAAAAAAAAAACATGACAGCATGTCATTAATTACCTAATTATGTTCATTAATTGCCAAAAATATATTTTGCTGTGTCTCATAAATTGAGTGCACTGTATTTACTCTTTATTTATTTTTTTATAATAGATTTTCAGTAAATTGTTAAATCATTTGGACCTTGCAAATAATCACGTCATTTTCTATTTTTAGGCAAATTATCATTGACTGCATTTGTCAGATGTTCAACCCTGTTACCAAAGTTACTGTACGAAAAAAGGATTAAACAAGTATATCTATTTAACTTTGGTAAGTTTATTAATTACCACAAACCAAAAACTAGCCAGCACCTACTGAGTGAGGCTCAATTAAACTGAATCGTATTATCTATTTTATTTTATTTAGGGTTTTTTTTTTATTACTTTGTACAAATGTTATTTATTTAAGGTTGCGTTTTTAATTTATTTTTTTTAAAAGCACACGTCACATAAACCGTTGTTTTAAACAGTATTCAAACATGTCCTAACATTTAGGAATTCATATAAAAGTAATCATATTTGTATAATAATCTTATAATAATGGTATGATTTCTAGTTTGACCTCCTGAGGTGATGGACAAAGGTTAAGCGCCAAGAAATGAAATGTCGACTTTAAAGCGATGAAATTTCTGTCATTTAATTTCTCACCCTTGTGTCGTTCCAAACCTGTGAAACTTTCCTTAGTCTTCGGAACACACACAAAAAAAATTGCAAACAACTTGTGTGGCTTCATAAAATCACATGATGAGTCACATCATGATGATCTTTCTGGGGCTTGAAAGTGGTAGTTGTGTAGACTGTCAATGGAGGGACAGAAAACTCTCAGATTTCATCAAAAAGATCTTCATTTGTGTCCGAAGATGATCGAGAGATGAACTTGCGGGTTTGGAACGACATGAGGGAGAATAATTACTGAAAGACATTTTGTGTTTAGGTGAACTATCCTTTAAGTTTTAGTCAAGCCCCATTTTGTACCCTTTTTCATGGAAAGTGCGAGTTAATTATCAGATGTTAGGCATTGTTTGCAGTTTGTGTTCTTTTAGCTCACTTACTGACATCTAAAAATATTTTGATGGACTGTGAGGGCTATATGGATTATTATTAGTCCTGTTATGTTACTATGCACATCTAATTGATGCTCTACATTCTGTGCGTCCTAACACACTGGCAGAAGCTTCCTTAAGTACAGTAGAAGTTCATTGAATTGGGATTTGAAGTACTGTATCTCACTGTAAATGAAATTTTGCTGCCAGTATATGGATTTGCGTTTAGCACTGTGATATGATGTGTTGTCTTAAGTCTGAGTTAGCAGACCAGGCTGGGCCTAAATGTCTGAACCAAATCACTAAGAGGTGTCTGAGCAGATCAGCGCCAGCTCAAAATGTGTCAAGGCATCAGTCAAATGTAACAGCGACTGCTTGTTATAGGCGTAATTAGGAGGTACACACACAAGCAGACTCAAACAGTGTAGTAGGATACATGGGTTTGTACAAGATCAAATGCCATTTTGATTTCGAAAAGAAGTTTTGTCTTTTTGTTTTCTTTACTTTGGGATTTAAATGTGGAATTATGTATTCTTCACAAGCCTTAAATTCTCATGCGATCATGCAAAATATGGGTGCATTCACAAATACATAACACTTATCAGGGAACCGCGTTCAGAATATCGTGATGATATGGAAGCCTATCCGCCACATAAGAAACAAAAAAACTTGCTTTGGTAAGTCACACCTTACATATCTCTTAATTTCAGCTATTATTATCATGTTTGTGAGGTAGTATGCCATAATTATAAAATATAATTAAAAAAGCCGTAAAAGGTCAAAATATGTCGTAATTGACTTTTATGACAGACTAAGTTGAAAGTGACGTACTAAATAGTAAATATGATATAAAAATTTGAAACTGACAACTTTTTACTTCTAATAATTATATTTACCTACTAAATCATAAATGATGTAAAAATATGAAATTATGCAATTAAAAACTCAAAAAGCTGAAACTGACCAGTTGAAATTGAGATAAAAAGTCATATGGACTTACTTTTTGCCAAAATTATGACTTTATATCTTGGTTAGGACCTTTTAACTCAATTATTATGACCTCATAAATTTGACATTTTATGTCATAATTTTGATTTACCCACGCATTATGTTCTTTGTGTGGCAGAAATTGGCTTTCATATGACGACACACTGGCAGGCAGTTTTATTTGTTGCATCCTTTTACAGTAAGGATAGTGGTACAGCGATGACAGAATTAGTTCAGTATCAAAGGATAAAGTTGTGTTTATTGACGTATGATCAGCATCTGGTCCAGTCTAGCGTCTCCCATCATCACCTGCTGCTCTCTCTTCATCCTGAAACGTTTCTAATTGTCCCTTTACGTCAGTCTGCTGCTTCTGTTGTGCATTATCCAGTCCTCTCCTCAAAGTCCTCTCCCTCTGGACCCCAAAGGTCTAATCGGTTAGCGTGCTAACTGAACAAAACATATAGTGAACAATATATACAGTATAATTTATGTACTGTATGTATCCTGGGCTTGACATTAACACCTGCCAAATGTGGGTGCATTTTAACACTATTTCAGGATTTTGTCACATAGTTACTCTCACATATAATATAAACATTTTTCAGTTGTAATCTTTTAAAAAGGTATCTGAAATATTAAACTGTGGTAATGTAGTTTTGTCAAAAATATCGATTTTTCGATACTTGATACTTGAACTATCTGAAACGTTTTCAATACTCATTTTCGCAGAATAGACACAGGAGACCAGCTGCTCTTTCTCTCTCATCTCTCACCTCTCCGACAGCGAGTGACACACAAACCCGCCTCCACTCACTCATTTGATCCAGATGAATATTGTTAATGTTACAGGGCTTGAATTTCGATGTGGGATTGCGTGAATTGGCCATAATTTTACTAATTTCCACAGATTTTATTCTCACACCCAAACTGTGGCACATAAAGCCGCCTCTTAGCACTGAGTTTTTTTTTTGTTTGTTTGTTTGGTTTTTTTTTTGCTGCTGCTGCTTATTCCGCTTAAACGGTCAAATACACACAAAATAATGTCAAAATGCCAGTCTCTGCAAGTATTCATGTTGTAAGTGAACGTAAAGGGAAGAAAACGGATGTGTAACAGAATAATGGATCCGTGCGTCAGGTCTTAAAGGAGAACTCCGGCGCAAAATGAACCTTTTGGTCTAATTACACATTGTTACCTAGTCAACCGTTATCTGAGATTTGTTTTCATGATTGCCGAATGTAAATAGTTTTATCTCTAAAAACAGTTTAGCCTATAATGTCAGCATTGAGAACGTTGTCAGTGTCCATACAGTTTAATAAGAAGATGTTTTATACATACAGTCAACTTCGTGAATACAGAAAGAAGCCATCTTTGAAAAATAGTCTCTACCAGTCGATCTACGAACGCCGATCCAAGTGTGCAGAATCTCATATGGTCCGTTGTTTCCAGAAGAAACACAAACACAAACCATTTTCTTCTCTTCAGTATGTACACGTAGACTACTGTTCACGCTCACCTTATCACCTTATTCACATCTCACCAGCGCACTTGGATTGGCGTTCGTAGATCGACTGGTAGGGACTATTTTTCAAAGATGGCTTCTTCCTGTATTCGCAAAGTTGACTGTGTGTATAAAACATTTTCTTATTAAACTGTATGGACACTGACAACGTTCTCAATGCTTCGGTTTGAATGTAGGGACCCTTGTTATGCTTTCGTGTTACTGTGGGGCTATTTTGAGCCTTGTTAGTGGTAATAACAAGCGATTTTTATTTGTCATTACTCTATGCCCCATATACTAGCGTTATACTAGCATTATAGGCTAAACTGTTTTTAGAGATAAAACTATTTACATTCGGCAATCATGAAAACAAATCTCAGATAACGGTTGACTAGGTAACAATGTGTAATTAGACCAAAGGTTCATTTTGCGCTGGAGTTCTCCTTTAAAGTGACAGCAGCCTAATAAACCTGCTGACAAATTAAGAGATGATTAAAAATATCTTTATGGCCGTTGTTCCCCAAGGTATCGACGTCAAAACTGTAGCCAGTGAAAATACTGAGTGACTCGTAACTTTGGAAAACCACTAGATACAGTGTCCGGACAGCAAAAAAAAGTGTATGTCAAGCCCTGGTTATATCACATGATATTTGATGCGTAATCAAAGTCACAGTGAAATGTCATTTGTATCCCATTTTAATCGGATGTATTTCTGAGTGAAATGGGATTTTCACGAAGAATGTTGTAGATTATTCAGTTGGTTCGGATTTACACACCAGAACATACGTCAGCATTGGTAATGTGTGATTTCTAGTCAGGCAGCCCAAAATATCAAGGCCAGTTTTGAGCTGCCAATGCACTCTTTAGGGTCCAAAGGGGAGAAGATTTAGTGGGGTACTACAGCATCTTTCTTTTCTACACCTTCTTTTCTCTGTTCTCATGTCTGTTGTTAATCGTATTGGCATGTTAACTACTGTAGATCCCACACTTTATTTGTTTGATTTGTTTTAATCCCTGTGTGTGTATGTCTCCCTGTAGCTGACCAGTGTGTCGGGTGCCAAACAGAAAGGAAAGTTGGGATGCCATGACTGTGGATGAAGCATCACTTGTATTTCATGTGTGTGTGTGTTCGCGTGTTTATATAGTTTTATGTAATTGTGTGAAAACTACTCACACCTGCAGTGATCTCCTCCCATCCCATTTAACACACGGGCCAAAGACAGACAAAAAAAATGTCCCGTCCGCTGCTCCGCTCGCACACCATTTAAAACATCTTGCTTTTATCTGACTTCAGACGTGTTCAAAGACTCAGAAGCGCAGCCACTGTATTCTCACGCGATAACAAGAGCCAGTGTTGACGTTGTCTTTGCTTTGATTTCGGTCGAGTTTTGTTTAACTTTCTTTGTGAAGCGACAGTCTACACGCTCCTGTTTTATCTGTGATTCTTTCGTCTAAACTGATGGTCTTTCATCTCACAAAGTGCAGATGCTTTTATTTTGTCTGATAACTTTGAAAATAAAAGCAGTAGGTTAAAAACACTGATTCTAGTTCACCAAAACACTGATTAGAGAGTTCAGTCTTGTCTTTTGATGTCCGATTCAGATCAATCCATCCGTAAGTTGAGATGTTTGATTCTTACTGTCAGTATTTTTAGGCTTTAGTACAAATGTCTGTCAAGCTAAACAATATGGGCGAGACCATTCAAACATAAGGAATGTGAACCACGGTACGAGTTTCAGTAGGAAAGGCAGAGTTTCGACAGACGGGAGATACTCTGTGTTGTGACGTCTTATGGTACACTATTATGATTAGTTAATAACTTTATGATGGCATGAGATTGGTACAGTCCGGATCTTGGTACTTGTAGTGATTTTACACGTATACTGTGATTTCTAATACAAAATGATGGCGTTAATGTGACACTACAAACAACAGCGAATTGTTTTTATGTGTAGAGTTTCTTAATGGAACTGTCTGTCTCCATCCTTTTAATGATTAAGTTGCAGAAAGCAGGGTATGTCAAAAAAATAAATAATAATGAAACCGATAAAAAGGTTTAAATTTGCATATTCATCCGTCGTAGACAAACTTGTGCTTCTATTTTGTGTAGATAATAATGCATAAATATGAGGTTTAGATGGGAAATATTCCTGTATGCGTTTAGCCCTAGTTTACAAGGATTTTAAGTCTGGTACTTTTTAGTTTGATTATTTTGAATCTTCGTTTTTAACATGGTATGTTAAAAATGGGTACAGTGCTAAATACAAGCAGATGCTAATGCTAGCACCTGTAACAGCCGCAGTGTTTGCACAACTAATCACATTAGCGAATACAACGGTGACAGTTTAGATCATACTCACGGCTAAACGATTAAAATATAAACAATACTGGATTGTAAAGTAATCCTGGGTGAACTCTTTTGATACTTGAATGATTATGCTTTTATAGATATCTCTCTCTCTATATATATATATATATGTATATGTATGTAATGTATGTATTTTTTTCTTTGTTTACTTTTTGGTCATGTTTTTGTCATATCTAGAGAGGAACGTCTTTTTAAAGCTCAACATATCATGGTGTAAGTGAGCATGAGACTGACAATGGTATCTCTGAGAGACCTTGCCACAGAATCAAAGAGAAAGATTGTAAATAATCTTGGGCTTCCAGTCTTTTTTATGATTATTATTTTTCATAATTGTACATCCAATAAATGAAGAGATGATATCCAGTGTCATGTCATTTTTTCATCCATAACTTTAAACACCAAATGAAGGTTCTTGTACATCAACGCCATTTGCAACATGACATCATGACTTTTGCGTAAACATACACGCCACTTTCGAGTCAGGTGGCGTGTTATCTCTACGCATTTTGAGCTATCCGCGTGTATGCGTATATGTCTACGCGCCATTAACGTCCGCGTGTACACTGTACACGCCGTCAAATCTCCAGTCATAAATGCCATTAACCCCAGTGACGGTTAAGTTTAGGGATGGGGTTGAGGTAAGTCATATCTTTTTTTTACCTAGGATGGTGAGGGAACAGTCATAAATGCCATTAACCCCAGTGACGGTTAAGTTTAGGGATGGGGTTGAGGTAAGTCATATCTTTTTTTCCCTAGGATGGTAAGGGAACAGTCATAAATGCCATTAACCCCAGTGACGGTTAGGTTTAGGGACGGGGTTGAGGTAAGTCGTATATTTATATAACGTTAAGTCAATGGCGTTCATAAACACGCTGAAAGGCGATTATGCGTCTTGATAGCACGCCAAAAATGCAAATACGAATTGGCGTGTCATACACACGCTACTTCATGAGATCAGTCTGCCATTTGTGTTTGAGATCAAAAGAAAGTTCAGCTCATTTTATCTAGCACAAACATTAACTTTGTTTCTGTATTGACTTTCTTTTCTTTCTTTTTTGCAAATAACAGGTGAAAATATCAAACATCTTCAAGTTGCAAAAGTTTTATTCAAAAACATTTAGGGACAGAAATTCCCCGATTTTAGACCTGCAAGGTGTTAAATGAACTTTGGACACAGTATATTAATGATCTGTATTACAGAAAGACACATCAATTTCACTTGACAGTTTCACACAACAATTTAAATATTTCCCAGATAACAACATGCAAAATTTTTACAATATCAGAAAAAGTTTCAAATGTGATTTGAAAGCTGACAACAAAACAGTTTTAAGAGTGATTTATGATGTAAGATTTGTTTCGTTGATTTTTGACAAATGTACCACAAAAATATAATCAGGTATTTTTTTCTTTGGACAATGTCAGTGTTTGACAATTGACATTACCGCTCTGCCAATATTTGTGTGCTGAAACTTTTTTGCTTTTTGTATTTTTTTTAAAATGACTTAAATGATTCATGTGCTTCTAAAATTGTGAAATTAACTCACCGGCAACAAGTAATGGCTCAATCTTTTGTTGTTTATTGTGCTTTTGCTTTTTTCTTCATTTTGCTAGTGAAGAAAACCACACATGTTGCACCTAAACGACAGCAGCAAATTCATAACCAATCACCTGGTTAACTTGGTAATTTCATGAGCTATGGGGCCAGTTTCATAAACGCATATAAACGCATATGTCTTAAAAACTTTTCTAACCAACTTGAACTTTTTGTTTGAAAAACAAATTTATGAAACTGATTTTTAAAATAGTACTTGTCTTAATTTTTAGGCTTGTAATACTACTCTGAGGTGATTATGCAACAGGCCCAAAATTGAACTTAAATGAATTTTGGTTTCTCTCTTTTTCTCTTAAATCATTAAATGTTCTTTGACTGAAAAGTGTTTCCGAAAGAAATGAATGTATTGATCTGGTTTGGAAATGCTCGAGACCGCCGCTGCGTTGTTACAGTCTGAATGCAACTCTGAAATTTCAAGCATAAAAAAAACTTGTGTGCTGGTCCCATGTACATTCATTTGACATTTTGCCTTTCTGTTTTGTACTTTTCTCTGTACATTTTATATTCATCATCATTGTTTCTCAATTAAACCGTTTGGCATCTCCATCAGACAGCCGTAAATCACTGGTAAACAACTTCCTTGTTAAAAGATCTCATCGCACTCCAATTATCAAACAGTGGTCACGGAGAGCAAAGGGTTGTACACTTTCTTCCCATCTACTGAACGGGTCCCGTGAGCCAGGAGCTCCTGAATGGTGATCCAGTTGTCCAGGATGCGTCGGCTGCGTTTCTTCATACTCTTTTTCTGGCTCAGCTCGAGTATGGAAGCCTGTCCCTGCGGTCCAGAGTCTTGCTCCTTCTCTTTCTCTCGCAAGAAGTCCAGTCGGCTCTGCATCATGAACTCGCGGCGTCGCCGTTGCTCCCGAGCTCTCAGAAGCTGCTGTTTGCGTTCCTCCTTGCTCCAATAGCGTCCCATCTTCATTTCACTGACCGCATCGTCGTCCGTGGTCATCCCGCTGCGCTCCTCCCGAATCTTCATGGCGCGAGCCTTTAGCAAACGGTCTCTTACCGGACGCTTCGCCACGTAGCGTGAGCCGTCGCTGCGGATCTTTACCTTCCACTCCATTCGAGGTGAAGATGGAGGTATAATCAAAGGAGTTGCGGTGGATTCTCTGTTTGCACACGTTATTGTGCTGGAGTGAGCAGGAACCTGTTCAGGGGTGTCCCGAACTTCTGGACCGTCAATGTCCCTCAACTGCATGCAACTCTGGTAGCGTTGAGGCAGCGTGGTACTGCAGTGGCGTCGGGACAGGTACGGACTGTTTTCTGCACTCCTTCCCCCTTTCACTATCCCGGGAGTGAGAGTCCCCCTTCGTGCTCCATCCAATCCCTTCCTACTGCTGCCGCCATTACGAGAGACTGACCGGAGCCTTGTTGCCGGATTAGAGTCTCTGTTGTCCCCGAGTTCTTCACTCTTTTTCTTGGCATCTGATGAAGGTGGCGCGTTTAGATTCTTCTCCCGGCTCGTGCTCGTCCTGTGACGGGGCGTCCGAGGTCGCATGGTTGCAGAGGCACTGGAATCTCCCGCCGCGGAGGGCGAGGGGTATCGTTCGCTAGCCAGAGGTGTGCTTCTGCAACTTTCCCCACCCGTATTATAGGCGCTTGTGCTCTCCTTGTCAGAGCGTTCCCTTTCTGGGATCTCGTTGATGTCTGACAGTTCATGGTGGATCGCCTCTGCACCTCCACACCTCGCCTTTGCTCCTTTTTCTTCATCGTCCTCTTCGTCAGCTGGCCAGACCTTTAGGCAGCGTTGGCGCAACTGATTCATCTTCTGAGCCCGCAAAACATTGCGCCACTTGAACTCCAGGTGACGTATTTCCTCGTCTAGGAGGGAAATCTCGTGCTGCATCAGGCTCTCGTTACAATTCATGTCTACAGGAACGCCTCCTCCTGCGCCATGGTTCCTCCCGTCCAAAAGGAGAAGTGCGTTTCCATTCTTCTCATAAAGGCACCGGATCTCCAGTAGCTCTCGGTAACGTTCATATTCCTCTTCGGTTAAACCTGGCATGAGCACTCTGCTGGTCACTGAGCCCAGTGTTTCGGGGACCCCGTGATCCGCCACTCCCACCCCATCCGGGCCTAGCAGCGAGTCGTTGCTGTAGTGAAACTCCCATCCGTGCTGAGCAGCGCGAAACTTGCGCAAACTGCCGGGTGTGTTGGTGGCGTTGGTGGTGCATGCACTGGTGGGATCATCCGCCAGCTCGGAGGACTCTTCACAGCGCGTGCTTTCATCTGTGCGACCCACCCCGCTGTCCAGCTCCTGGCTGTTATTGAGGGCAGTGTGCCATAAATTGGGGCGACCTCCTCTGATCCCAGTGATGTCACTCAGCAAGGAGCTCGCTTTCCTTTGGTGTTGAGGGCTGGGTAAGTTAGAGGCGTTTTCCAAGTCCTCTAGATCCAGGCCCACACTCAACTCCAAATCCAGATCATCAGCCTCATTCTTCCAAGATGTGGATTGTTGAAGATAGAAAACAAGAATGAAAATAAATAAATTAGCAAAATACTGTAAAATCATGCCGCACTCTTAAAAGAAAAGGTTCAATGGGTCTCTATATAGAACCTTCGGGTTCTTGATTCAATTTTGTGTCAAAAGGTTCTATGCAAGGAGAAGTGTCTTAAATTATTGAATAATAATAACATTTTTAACAGGTTTTTTTTAAAACATTTTTAGTGATTCTGGTTAAAGGAGTAGTTCACTTAAAAAAAAAAAAAACTTTGCTGATAATTTACTCACCCCCACGTCATCCCAGATGTCCATGTCTTTCTTTCTTCAGTCGAAAAGTAATTAAGGTTTTTGATGTAAACATTCCAGGATTTTTCTCCATATAATGGACTTCATTGGGAACCAAACACTTCAAGGTCTAAAAGACAGTTTCAGTACAAACTACAAACTGTTCAAAGGGCTTTAAACAATTCCAGACGATGATGAATAAGGGTCTTATCAAGCGAAACGATTGCTCATTTAAAAAAAATAATAATAATAATAATAAAGTTTTAGGTTTTATAAGCTCTAATGGGTCGCCTTGCTCTTTTCTGTGATGCACTTTTGTGACTCTCCTGTTCGAACTCGTTTATCAAAATGAATTCATCTTTTTTCAAGTCATTTGGTTCATTCAACGAACGAAATGAACGAGTTGACTCGGGAAAAGATTTGTTCATTTTGATGGACGAGTTTTAGCAGTAGAGTCACGAATGTGCATCACAGAACAGAGCAAGGCGAGCATTTAAGCTTATAAGACTTAAACTTTATTATTTATTTTTTTTAAATGAGAGATCGTTTTGCTTGATAAGACCCTTATTCATCATCTGGAATCGTTTAAAGCCTTTTTGAACAGTTTGCACTGAAATTGTCTTTTGGACCTTGAACCGTTTGGTTCCCATTGAAGTGCATTACAGTATATGGAGAAAATCCTGGAATGTTTTAATCAAAAACATTAATTTCTTTTCGACTGAAGAAAGAATGACATGGATATCTGGGATGACATGGGGTGAGAGAATTATCAGCAAAAGTTTTTTTTTTTTTTTTAAGTGAACTGCTTTAATTCATAAAATTATCATGATGATACTAATTAAAATGTTCTACAAGGCCAATTCACACTGCACAGAAAAAATGCCAACGAACACCAACAAGTTGGCTGTTGGGTTTAGAATTTTATTTTATTTTTTAAAAATAACTTGTTCATATTGACCCAACAGACACCGACAAACAATAATTGATATGTTCATTTGAGTAAAAAAGTAAAAAAATTAGTCTGAGGGGTGTGAACTGGCCTATAAATGAGATGCCTAACAGAAACCTTAAGGGTTTTATAGTACCTTTTCTTCTAAAAATGTGATGGAGAAACTTGCTTAAAAACATTCTGATTGGTCAACAGCAGCAAACACATGGAGACATCAGTGTTTGAACAGCAGAGGGCAGTGTTTGTCAATGGAAGCCCAATATCGGATGCTATAACTGATTCTGGGGTCTTTTCCCATCTGTTGTTGGAGGCCTTTAAATGTGAGAGGTTTCTCAAATGAGCCACCTGTGCTGGGGAATATACTGGCCCAAGGGCTCACACACACCATCTGGACCTTCCATACTCACGCACATACACTTGTGTGCTACTGACCCCAAATCCTAAAACTGTACAATCAGTAACTATTTCCCAAATGACCATTCACTGTTTATTGGTTCTTATTCTCGTTTCTTGTTTTAATGATTTTCCACAAACAGTTATTAAAGAATCTCAATTATAGATTTTCACTTGGTGCCAAACCCTATGGACACAGCTGACAGATTTCTAGAGCAAAATATTAAATTTGATTAAAGATGGAGTTTTATTTTTATTTAGAGCTGGACCCAAATGGGTTTTACTCAGACCAGTGTACATAAAGCTTTTCCATCTTCAATGGCTATAAGCTTGTATGTTATATTAAACCCAAATGAATAACTTTCTGGGTTCAAAATCAGCATCCTCAGTTTATCATGATTATGATATGCAAATAAGATGCATTTTTTTTTGTGTGATCTTTATTAACTTGTTCTCTTGTACAGTTTTTGTGTCAAATAGCATCATGGTAAATTAACTTCATAAACATGCCTCAGACTTCAAATGCTGTTTTGGTCTATTTGTATTCATGAACTGGGTGATTCCTTGGGGGGTTTGCATTATGTTTTATTTAAATATTTACCAGTGGGATACGGACTGTTGCTATGGCTTCCACGAGGGCTAAAGATGATAAATCTGGTTGTTAAAGCATGCTGACAGACCATGAGCTTTTGGACCAATCAATGAAGAGACTCACACAGAGAGAAGACATTGAGACATTATAATTTGTGTCCTTATTTAAACGTAGTCTGTTAATTTTGACTCTCGCACAGTTAAGCTGACCTTCAGTTTCGGTGCGATGGATGAAACTCATTTTGTTTCGTTATTTGATCACACTGCCAATATTAAAATATTTTACACAAAACAGTTTCCAAAATGATAATTGGATGTCTCTCACTTAACCTGCAATATAATGTGATATTGTTTAAAAAGCTTATCATGGAATAATCCCTACTTTTCCACACGCTTAAAAGTACTACATAGTGTATACTAGTGCTCAGCTACTCTTCCATTCTGAACAAAGCCGATGTCTCAGACTGCATTGGAAATGTGTTCGAGGAAATAAAATGGATATTGTGACTCACTAATGGAGGACGTGTATTATGGGAACTCCTCTAAAGTGTGACCTTGAGAGGAACAAAAGACTGCCAAAGCAGCCCATGTGTCCTCATCTCTCCTTGTGTTTTTTTTTCTCTTCCATTCTCTTCATTTATTTCCTCGTCTGGGTTTTTTGCCCTTCTCTGCCCTTCTCTGTCTGCTTTCATTTGTAAACAGATAACAGATCGAAGCCACGTGTTCACCTGTACACTGGAACACATTTGTCTGTCACTGCTTGAATATACTAAATCTACAGCCTCACAGCATAAGAAATGATATTTCCTCGAGTTATGAGTTTGTGCTCTAGGTGACCGGTGAGATAAAGACTGAATTCTGCAAAACAATTCAAAAGACAATAAGTAAATATGTTTTTCATTTAAACTTCTCCTGCCTCAATAAGAAAATTTTGTACGAAAGTGATTTTGGAGCGCTGATATCTGACTGCGGTTTATGAAGCGAAGGCGCGTCTCACCTCGATGTCTGGCCGTGCCAGTAGCAGAGAGATGTTGGTGCTGTCCTCTCTGGTCAGGATGGCCACTGCTTCCTCTCGGTTCTGGACATCCACCCCGTTTATCTGAACACAAACACACATACACAACACTTCGCATCACAGATGATGTTTGTGCTCATTGGTTTACATAACCCATGCATCATCTGTATTTTGTATTATTATTATTATTGTTTTGTTTATTTTGGCCACGAGTTACTATCTTGAGGCCACCAGTTACTATCTTGTGGCCACGAGTTACTATCTTGAGGCCACGAGTTACTATCTTGAGGCCACGAGTTACTATCTTGAGGCCACGAGTTACTATCTTGAGGCCACGAGTTACTATCTTGAGGCCACGAGTTACTATCTTGAGGCCACAAGATAGTTATAATTATTGTTTTTTTTTTACCAAAGTGGGACTAGAGGGGCTCCGTACAATAATAATGATGTTCTTATTATATTTTTTGTAGCCGATATGACGAAATGTTGCACTTTACTGTATTTTCCATTTTTGAAGTTATTCAAATCATATTTCAAGCTGTTCAACCATTATGGCAAACAGTGCACATCTGAAGTGTCTCACCTGAAGGAAAAAAAATACATTTATCGGCTTTAATTTATATCGGCCAAATTTTCTTATCGGGCTGATAATGATAACATTAAAAATGAACATAAATCGTCCGATGCCGATATATTGTGCATCTCTATTTTTAAGCCACCAACCTTAAACCACACTCTGAAATTTGATTGGTTGATATCAAGGAAGTTGATCATTATTGGACACTAGTGAACAGTGTATCAGACGGAGAATAACATAGTTTGGCTTTAGTTACCTGCAGTATTCGGTCTCCCTCGCGGATTCGGCCATCCTTGGCAGCAATGCTATTAGGGTTGACCTGCAATGATGATACAGAAATTTATATTTCTAAATATATAACACAAATAATCATTTAAAACAAAAATGTACATAGTGTAAATGTGTGCACTATTTATGCACTATATGCACAAATTTAACGGATATGCTATGGGGGCAAGTGCTTCCAAACAGTCAAAACATACAGTTGATATTAAAAGTCTACACACCCCTGTTAAAATAGCGAGTTTTGTGATGTAAAAAAAAATTAACAAAGATAAATCATATCAGAACTTTTGCACGTTTAATGCCACTGAAAATCAAAGTGACACATTTGGGAGACTGGGAATATCAGAAAACCTGTTGATCACCTTTACAGTACATGAGCTTGATGGCTGAACACACTCACATACCCAATTTATAAAAGGGGGTGCATATTTTTTCAGGTTGTTCTAAGTTTTTGTTTGTATAATATTTCTCTGAAATGTATTGAAGCTTGTTTCCACCACTCATTAAAAAAAAAATTATCATTGTGACTTTTATCTCACAATTGCGAGATATGAAGTCAGAATTGTGAGAAATAAAGTCGCAATTGCGAGATATAGTCACAATTCTGTAATTTTTTACTGTAAATGCATTACTGTACACAAGTTTTCCAGTATTTTTCACAAACAGAATTAGTAAAAAAAATGTACGTGATCATCGACAACATCTGTGGCATATTTGATTTTAAACATTTTCTTTCATAATGTGCTTATAAGGGGTAATTTGTGCAATCTAAGCATGCTGTAATATGAAATGACATTACAGCCTCAACTGCAACAAACAGAATGTACAGAAAGTGGACGTTTTCAAACAAGTTTCCTAAACACTCCTGCTACCCTTGGCTGGTTGGGATGCTTAACCCTTTTCCTGTCACCCCCCTTTTTGAGAATGGGGGTTAAAATGCACTATTCAAACTTAAATGGTTGTAATCCAAGTTTGGTCTTGTTTTAAAGAAAATACTCAGCAGATTATTGCTGAAGTGAAAACACTTCAAAAAATGAAAGTATGAAACAGTTATGGAAGTTTAAATTGACAGTAAATCAAATACTGTATACTGTACTATATATTTTTTATTTGATATAAACTATATATTTAACAAAATAGTTTTTACTCTAAAATTACTATAAAATCAAAGCCATAATTCTAACCAAGTTATGTTCCAAATTTGAAGTTGATATCACAAAAATGTATGTTCCCATGAGATTTTCTTTAGGCGTAGTACCAAAAATAGCCACCGGGTGCCATTGAATTCCATTGAATTTAGTTGAATACATTCTGCCTAAACAAATTAATACATTTCTGTCCAAATATCCATTCTGTCAAAAAATGTGGAACCCTGAGACACAGATCTTTCTGACAATATGTGTTTGGTCAAGATTAGTAAAGGTTTTGATCACAATTATGAAATATAATGATGCCCCAAAGGGGCGGAGCCTGATAAAATCATTTAGAGTACCTTTTCTATGGTTTTCACAGGATGAATTCTGAGTTTGTAAGCTTTCAAAAGATACCTACCTAATTTATAACTACTAAAATATGTGATATAATAAAAAAGGCGATAAAAAGGTAATATATTTTAGAGGATAATATATATATATATATATATATATTTTAAGAGAATAATATTATATTATATTTTTTTATTGAAAAATACTATTATATGTTTTATTATGAACTGTTAGCATGAAAACCCAAAGTTTCAATTATTAAAGGTATGTGTCAACTTTTTGTGACAAAGGTCAGAATTCCTGTTATGGTACAGATTTTTTGAGGTGCACTCTTGTCGAAAAATCATTGGTTACTCTTCTTACATAATTTGTAGCAAAAAAAACAGCAGTCAAATATCTATTTAGCAGTCTTAGTCCTTTCCAACAATATATAGTTTGTCATGACTAGATTAGGATTTAATAGTAATGAAGTCAATTTAGGTTGCCCGTATACGAGCAGGTGACAGGTAAGGGGTTAAACAGCAATCTTTTGAATTATGTTGAAATACCCTGCAAATGGCTTAAACTACAAAATTACATGCTTCAATTGTAACATTATATTAGGCTTAGCGTTAGGTTCTTTGTCTCCACATTGTGCATTGAAATCATTGAATGCACGGTGGGTGAGCTGTAGATTATCACGATTATACTATGGGCATTTGCCAGCATTGACAACTTATTGATGTTTGCAGTGCAATATTTGACCTGAAAGGATACAAACGATGGTTATTAGATCTAGAATTCTGCCCGCTTTGAATCATAAGGACACTGTAAAACAAAATCATTTTAAACTTTACAGAGATAAAGTAGTGCGTAAGATTACATTTTTTTCAATGAATGAATTATAGACATTGCGAGAGACAGTGCATTGATATAGAGCTGTGATTAAACTACAGTACCTGTGCATTAAACATTTTTATTGCACACCTTTCAGCCTATCTGAATCGAGTATTCAGACAGACCATGATATAAAGAATTAATAATATATAGTTTGCAAAATTGAATTAAGTAACAAGGTGTAATTGCATTGTAATTGTCCAGCTTAAGTAGGATTATCGTGTGCACATAGACTAATTCTTGAGAGATAAAATGGTGTTCTGGATTTAATATGGCTTTTTTTTTTTTAAATAATGATTTACTAACGCTGAAGCAGAAGGGCGTAGGTTCACAATCCTCTCTAAGGCTTCGTTCATTATTCATGGGTCAGCAGATTCCCGTTATTCCCCATTTCTCACCTCTCCCACGTAGATGCCCAGATCCTCTTCATCATCAGTGCGATAACACACCATTAAACCCAGTTTATCTTGCTGACAAGATTTATACAATTCCACCTCCTGAAGGAAAACAGAGAGAGAGGGAGAGAGAGCTGAACAAACAGAGATAAGATGCTCCAGTATTTCAGGCTAAAAGAAGCTTGTTTTGCAGTAGAGGGAGTTAAGAGATGATATTGACCTCGTACTCCAGGTCATCTTGTCTGTCCACCTCATGTTGACTAATGTCAAAGTAGTCCGTTGGGTCATAATACACGTGATCCATAGGAGACCTGAGGAGAAAAATCAAATATCTATAAGTTATAGTGATGTCACAGAAAGGCAGTTTAAACTCTTATTTGAGGTAATGCGTATATTATATTTAGACAAATCATTTACATGGTTTTATAAACTGGCAATTCACAAAGTATAATAAATATGTTATGTTAAGATGTCCTTGTTACAGTGTAATTTCATTTATGTACTGAGTAATATTAATGTACAGCATCATTAGGGTTTGGTTTAGGGTTCATTTACTTTTATCACTACAGTAAGATTAGTAAAGCTCCCTAACAGTGAGACCATGTGTGTCCCGGGGGCCATCTTACAGCTGTCTGAAGAGGTACGGCTCCGGCATGGGTGGCAGTGGAGGGGACGGAGGAGACGCGGGTCTGTTGTGATGAGCGGCTCGGCCTAACGTCACCATGTGCTGGAAGCTGATGTCTGTCTGCGTCCCGCTGTCCACACAGTCCGTCACGAGCAGCGTCCCGCCAGCAGCTCCAGGACCCCCGGCTCTCCTCCTCGTGTTACGCTTACAGCGCAGCGCCTGCAGACTCTGGTCCTGAGACAGCCGGGACAGGGCTTTACTGTTCACCTGCGTTCACAGACACACACATCCACGCTGAGGACAGTAACACTTTACATTACAACTTATCAGATGTGCTAATATCGTCTATTTTTCCTTGATATTTTGAAATCAAAGATCTTGGAAACATTAACTCAAGTCCAAAAAAACTAATATTTTGCAGCAAGGTTATTTTTTATATTTTTGTGGGGTTTTTTTAGCAAATAGCATTAATTTGTTTTTATTTAGGGTTTAGTTTTTATGGAAGCTTGTTTCCACCACTAAATAAATAAAGTTGCAGTCGTGAGAAATAAAGTCGCAATTGCGAGATATAAAGTCGTAATCGTAAGAAATAAAGTCGCAGTTGCGAGATATAAATTCGCAATTATGAGAAATAAAGTCGCAATTGCGAGACTTAAAGTCGCTATCGTGAGAAATAAAGTCACAATTGCAAGATATAAAGTCGTAATCGTGAGAAATAAAGTCACAATTGCAAGATATAAAGTCGTAATCGTAAGAAATAAAGTCGTAGTTGCGAGATATAAAGTCTTAAATAAAGTCGCAATTGTGAGATATAAAGTCGCAATCGTGAGAAATAAAGTCGCAGTTGCGAGATATAAATTCGCAATTATGAGAAATAAAGTCGCAATTGCGAGACTTAAATTCGCTATCATGAGAAATAAAGTCACAATTGCAAGATATAAAGTCGTAATCGTGAGAAATAAAGTCACAATTGCAAGATATAAAGTCGTAATCGTAAGAAATAAAGTCGTAGTTGCGAGATATAAAGTCTTAAATAAAGTCGCAATTGTGAGATATAAAGTCGCAATCGTGAGAAATAAAGTCGCAGTTGCGAGACTTAAATTCGCTATCGTGAGAAATAAAGTCACAATTGCAAGATATAAAGTCATAATCGTGAGAAATAAAGTCGCAATTGCGAGATATAAAGTCGTAATCGTAAGAAATAAAGTCTCAGTTGCGAGATATAAAGTCTTAAATAAAGTTGCAATTGCGAGATATAAAGTCGTAATCGTGAGAAATAAAGTCGCAGTTGCGAGATATAAATTCGCAATTATGAGAAATAAAGTCGCAATTGCGAGACTTAAATTCGCTATCGTGAGAAATAGTCACAATTGCAAGATATAAAGTCATAATCGTGAGAAATAAAGTCGCAATTGCGAGATATAAAGTCGTAATCATAAGAAATAAAGTTGCAGTTGCAAGATATAAAGTCTTAAATAAAGTCGCAATTGCGAGATATAAAGTCGCAATTGTGAGAAATATTCACAATTGCGACGAAAAAAAGACTATCTCACAATTCTGACTTTTTCTCACATTGTGAGTTTATATCTTTTCTCATCTTTTCTCAGAACTGTGATAAACTCACAATTGTGAGTTATCAGGCCAATTCTAAGGGGGGAGGGGGGGACTGACTTTTTTCCCCTCAGAATAGTTTATATCTCACAATTCTGACTTTACAACACGCAATTTCAACTTTATATCTCGCAATTCTAACTTTATATCACGCAATTCTGACGTTATGTCTCACAATTCTGACTGTATATCACGCAATTCTGACTTGACAACACGCAATTTCGACTTTATATCATGCATTTCTGACTTTATGACATGAAATTGCAAATTTATTTCAATAAATTCCAACTTTATATCTCGCAATTCTAACTTTATATCTCGCAATTCTGACGTTACAGTATATCTCACAATTCTGACTGTATGTCACGCAATTCTGACTTTACAACACGCAATTTCAACTTTATATCATGCATTTCTGTCTTTATATCTCACAATTCTGACTTTATAACCTGCAATTGCGACTATATTTCAATCAATTCTGAGTTTATATCTCACAATTCTCACTTTATAAAACGCAATTGCGACTTTAAATCATGAAATTCTGACTTTATACTCATAAAATATACTATTCTACAAACTCATTATACTATACTATTATACTAACTCGTTATATACTATAAAAAGTCAGAATTGTGAGATAAAAAGTCGCAATTACCTTTTTTATTATAAATAAAAAGCTTCCATATACCATTCACACCAAGCACGATAGGCTACCAATTAAAAAAAGTCAGTTCATGAACGATGAAAACATTGAGAGCCAATCAGATCAGAGCCAAAAGTTTTTGCTCTGTTTTTCTGAATTAATGACTTAATTATCTTAAAATTATGAGTAACTCATTAATTTATTAAAAAAAAAAACAGGGTGAAATTTTTTTTTTTTTTAAAGATGTATCATAATTTTGAGATATTTACACCTTTATGTTGTTACAAACCTGTATGACTTTCTTCCTTCTGTGTTACACAAAAGAAAATATTGAAGAATGTTTCTGTTTTTTTTCTCTCTCCACACAGTGAAAGTCAGAGGTGTCCAAAACAACACTGGCCCTCACTGGCTATCATTATACAGACAAAAAAAAACATTTCTCAAAATATCCTCAGGTTTGAAATGACATGAGTGTGAATAAAATAATACCATTTATCATTATTATTAAACATATCTACAATGGTCACTTATCAAAGCATCACACAACATTAACGCAACACTCAGATATGTAAGAAACGAAACCTTTAATCGAGCCTCCCCACTAAAAGGAGATGGTCCTCACTGCAGAACAAGAAATCCACAGGGAGGAGTCAGATCCAGATCCAACTCCTCCCACCTTACATATACCTAAACCTACCCAGCTCCACCTCCTGATCCATAAACCCACCCCTAAACCTACCCAGCTCCACCCCTTGATCCCTAAACCTACCCAGCTCCATAAACCCACCCCCAAAACCTACCCAGCTCCACCCCCTAATCCCTAAACCCACCCCTAATCCAACCCAACTCCACCCCTCAGATCTGGATCCGACTCCGCCCCCTGGATCTCGTGTACTGCAATGAGGTGCTACTGATTAAAAGAGCACAGCATGCCGTTTATCCGCCCCCTCTGTGCGAGAAAGAGGAAAGTGTTAAAGGAGAACTCCGGCGCAAAATGAACCTTTGGTCTAATAAAACATTGGTACCTAGTCGACCGTTCTCTGAGATTTATTTTCATGATAATTGAATGTAAAGAGTTTTATCTCTAAAAACTGTTTAGTGTATAACGCTAGTATATGGGGGCATATAATATGTAAAAATAAATTGCTAGTTAATACCACTAACAAGGCTCAAAATAGCCCCACCCTAACACAGTAACATAATGAGGGTCCCTACATGCAAAACGTTCATTCGATTATCATAAAAACAAATCTCAGACAACGGTCAACTATAGGTAACAATGTTTTATTCAACCCGGTCTCATCCCAAGACGTCATATAACTGACGTTTTGGGACGTCTTTTGACCATACGTCAATATTCGCCTTTTTAGGGCCCCCTTAAACGTCGGTAGATGAGGTTATGGGATCCTAACTCTACCCCAGACCTAAACCTAACCCTAAACCTAACCCGTCACCTAACTGACGTTAAAGGTAAAGCGTCAGTTGTATGACGGCCCGGGATCGCCATCTACCGACGTTTAAGGGGGCCCTAAAAAGGCGGATATTGACGTATGGTCAAAAGACGTCCCAAGACGTCAGTTATATGACTTTTTGGGATGAGACTGTGTTATTTTATTAGACCAAAGGTTCATTTTACGGCAGAGTTCTCCTTTAAGATGGGGGGAGCATGAGCATATCCAAGGAGAAAGCCCAGCTCATTTAGTGCTGAGGACACAGTGGAGAAACTGCACTCAGCAGAATATAGTCTCACGGTGATAAATGACCCTGATGCTCCAGATCTGCAGGCAAGAGGGCTTTCAAGTGTGTCTAAGGGTTTAATATGAAGGATATAGTGTGGTTGATTTTATACTGGTATGAAAGTCTTGTGTTTGTTTTATGCAAAATGCCTGATTTACATCTTAGATGTTGATTCACATGACGCCCATGACATTAGTGACTCCAGACATCTATTATCTTGCAAATACAGTTCTAGTCTACCCTTGTGCAAAACAAGTATGTGTACTTACAGTGTAGTTAACTAAGAAAGTACTAATACACGGTAACTGCATGGGGTTCAGGTTAGGTTTAGGAGTGGGTTTGAGGTTAGGGTTATTACCTATTGCAACTACTATATTAGGCACAATATGTACATGGGGAAATAGGACTATAAAATAAAGTTCCACCATACTAAGTATACTGTATTTTTAAAAACCTGTATTACAGATACCATTTATGAAATTGAAGGCACCTTAAGTGTACTTAAAGAGAGTGCACTTTGTAATATTAAATTAAAAGTTTTATTTTAAAGGACATTTTATATGTCAATTCATTTATATAATTAATAATTTTGTCATGGTTTAAGTACACTTATTTTGATGTCTAACACAGTAATTCACACATGTAAAGTAAGTGGATATAATTTAACTGTAGTTTATTTAATATTACATTTTAAGTTAATATATTTTTAAATGTACTATATTGTAACATCATCAGAAATATATTTAAATACACGACATACAGGTTTCAACAGAAATTTCATTAAAGGAGAACTCCGGCGAACAATGAACCTTTGGTCTATTAAAACGTCGGTACCTAGTCAACCATTCTCTGAGTTTTGTTTTCATGATAATCGAATGTAAAGAGTTTTATCTCTAAAAACTGTTTAGCGTATAATGCTAGTAATGGGGGCACTGACTAAGTAAAAAGAAATCGCTAGTTTATACCACTAACAAGGCTCAAAATAGCCCCACACTAACGCAGTAACATAATGAGGCACCATACATACAAAACGAAGCATTGAGAACTTTGTAAGTGTACAGACCGTTTAATAAGAAGATATTTTATGAAGACAGTTCACTTCGCGTATACAGACAGGAGCCATCTTAAAAAATAGTCTCGATAAGTCGAACCACGAACGTCGTGCTGAGTGATCTGAACTCTGTGAAGTTCAACGAACTTCTGAACTGTATGAACGGCGTTCGGGGATCGACTTATCGAGACTATTGGTGGCTCCTGTCTGTATACGCGAAGTGAA